AAAACAGCTAATGGCTATATAGCTCTCACTTCATGTCAGGCACTGTTGTAAGCACATTTTAATATATACAATTAATCATCTCTTTCCCAAAAAAAAAAAAAATGAAGGGGAATGCGATGCCTCTTTTGGTGGGTACCAGCCGACCTGACCTGCAGAGGGCAAACCTCAGAAAGGGATGAAGCAGTCTGTGGAACTGGGCTCAGTCCTGTTTCATGAGAGGACAGTACGTAGATGTCCATGGCATTTTTAGTGTTTTTCCTGCTACTTTTCAGCCCTTCTGAAGTTTTTGTCCAGTGCGTTTTGGCTTTGTTTTCATTATTGGCAAATACATTGCTCCAACATAACCCACGCACACACAAGGCAGAGGCCAAGTCTCCCACATGCGCTGTGCCTGTAGCATTCCTTAACTGTTCTGTTTGTCTTGGCTTCTTAGTCCAGGGAGCTGCTGCGCCTTCTTCAAGCTGGTCTTCCTTCATTGTTAAATCACAGCATGGTGGCCTTCCTGTGTCGGCCTCCAGTCCATCCTACAGCTCCTCAAACCCTGGCATGTCCTCCATACTCTCTCAATTAGATTGGTTTACCGGCAAGTGAATAAAATAATAATTTTGAGGAATGTTTTTTAAACTTACCTCTGGCATGAATGACTCACTGAATATATCTTAGCTTCTTATCCCAAGTTATCCAGAATTTTTCTTGGCTTGATTATACATGATGTTCCTTTTTGAGACTAGAAAGAAGTGTATCGGGAAGCACTTTGAGGGCTTATCAGCATTACGTTGAGTACTCTATAAATGTGTCACTTCTGAGAGTGATAGATGGAATAATTGACAAAATGGGGTGGAAGGTTTTTGTTTGTCAGTTTAGTCACAGGTAAAATGCTGCGTCTTTAATACTTGGGCAATTACAGCTTTCAAAAGAAGGCAGTGGCAGGTATGTTTTCAGTATTATTTTGGCCTTGCTAATACCCCAGGCTTTAGAGGAGGGAAAATATTCTGTCACTTGTTTACTTCTGTGCAGAAAACCCATCACACATTCATCATATGTAAGTGGGATTAAATCCTCTGATTAGTGCCATGCCGATAAGTAGCATGTTTTCTGGTCCTTAACTGTGTTACAGCAGGAAGTCAGGTTGAAGATAGGACATGACCCTACTTCCAAAGCCTCCCAGACTTCTGTGATGTCACGGAGTTTCTCGTGTCAGCTGTGAATACAGTAAACATGCCCCCTCTAATTCTCTAACCTTCGCGAATCAGCAGTGCCCTGTCTGGAAGTCTGTCTCGGGCCTACCCTGGGATCATGGTTTTAGAGACCTACCAGCTTCATTTTGTTTGGAAAAAGCAAGTAAAAGTTGTGCTGGAAACCTCTCATGAAAAACCTTCTTGAACATGTAATCCAGGCAGTAGTGGGACATCAGGTTGATTATGTTCACAGCAGAAATACTCCACACTTCACTGGCCAACCTGAACTTGCTCATTGGTGTCGTTTACTCAGGGCCGAGCACTGCTGTCAACAGGAGGGTACATAGAACGGGGAGGGCTGGTAACGCCGGGTCCTGGAACCAGGCACTGCATTCAGCCGTAGGGTGTTCAGAGCTGAATTCGATCAGCCTGGTAATGATACAGAAACGGATTCAGGGGTCACACTGAATCCTGCACAGCTATGGTGGGCCTGGAGGAGGAGGCAGCAGCCAGTGTGGACCAGAACTGGCTTATTCCTAAGTAAATGATGTGTTTTCCACTAGTACCTGTTTACAGTGCAGAACGATCTTTGGTCTGTAGTCAGGGGAGCCGCCGTGGGCTCCATTTGTCAGGGGAGTGTGTGCCTAACACCTCTCAATTCTTCCCGTCTCCCCTTCCCATCCATCCTGCTGCCTCCAACTCCTGGGCCCCTTCCAATGTGAAAAATGTCTGTTTCCATGCTTTCCTTAGATTCTTTTTAAATCCTTTTCCTTTTATTTCTCTTTCTCCTCCGATCTCTTGTGCCTGTTCTCATTTGAAAAAGATCTTTCTATTTATTGTCTAGCACTTATTTTGTTTTTTATTCATATTTAGGTTTCTCATATAAGAGAAACCACGTGATATTTAAGCTTGTGAGTCTGATTTATTTCACTGAACATTGTGGTCTTGCGGTGTACTTACAAATGCCTCACGTTTATTCTTCTTTGTGGTAGAGTAGTACTCCATGTGTGTAAATTCAGATCTTCCTTGTTTAATTACTGACCAACCAACCAACCAGCCTATTGAGTTAACCTGCAACTCGGACATTCAATTTGGTCACTAAATGAGGAATTGTATATAGTATGTACAGTATTGAGAAGAAAGAAATGGTGAAAGGGAACTTTTTTTTGTCTTTTTCTTTTTTATCGGTACCGGGATCGAACTCATGACTACCTGCTTGCAAGGCAGGTGCTTATGCCGCTGAGCCAAATCCCCAGCCCCTGGTGAAATGGAACTCTTATTTGAGGACTTTGCTTGTACTTGCATAGCTGTTACACGTAGTACTGTGTAACAACATAAAACTATAGCACTGTCCTGTGCAGTACAGTCAGTAAAAATTACAGTAGTGTATAAATAAGACGTACTGTACAACAAAAAAGACACTGAAGCCATATAAACAAGGTACACAGAACTATGCAGAGAGTGGGTTATAAGTCTGAATGTTCCTTAAACTGGTACATTGTTAAACAAGGCATATCTGTACCACATTGTCTTCATCCATTCATCTGTTGATAGAGGTGCAGGCTTTTTCCAGTACTTACAATTATAAATTGTACTGCTATTGTAAATTATGCATGTATTACTGTAATATGATGACTTTAACTCTTTTGGGAGGATTCCTACAAGGGGAATGAATAGCTGGGTCAACTGGAATTTCAGGTTTTGGTTCTTTTTTGGGTGTTTTTTTTTTTTTTTTTTTTTTGATTTGGTTTTTTTTTTTTTTTTTTTTTTTTTGTTAGCTTTTTGAGGGATTTCCATAGTGATTTCCATTGGGGTTGTGCTGGTTTGTACTCCCACCAGCAGTGCAGAAGGGTTCCTCTCTGAAGCCTTGCCAGCATTTGTTATTTGATTTCTTGATCATGGCCATTTTTCCTGGATTAAGATGGTGTCTCAGTGTTGTTTTAATTTGCATTTCTCTACTGACTAGCAATGTTGAACTTTTTTTCATGTATTTATTTGCCATCTATACTTCTGAGAAGTGTCTAATTATTTCAGATGCCTGTTTTTTTATTGGATCCTTTATTGCGGGAGGTCTAGTTATTTTGAGTACATATTCTAGATATTAGTCCTGTCCTTTTTCCCATTCTGTAGGTTGTGTCTTCACTCATTTCCTTTGCTGTGCAAAAGCATTTTCATTTCCTGTGACTCCCATTTGTTGATTCTCGTATTATTTCTGTGTCGTTGGGGTTGTTTATAAAGTCCTTGTCTATTCTTATGAGTTCCAGTTGTGCCTGTTTTATCTTTCAGCAGATTAAGTGTTTCTGTTTTTAACATTTAGAGCTTTGATCATTTTGATTTTAGTTTAGTACATGGTGATATATATGGGTCTGGCCTCAGTTTTCTGCATGTGGATATCCAGTTTTTCTAGCACCATTTATTAAAAAGGCTGTTTTCCTCTAGTGTGTTTTTGATCCTTTTCTAGAAGCTCAAACAGCAAAGGTGTCTGCTTTTGTTCTATTCCATTGATTCACCTCTGTTTTTGTGCCAGTACCACATTGTAACATGACTTCAAATCTGAGATTGTGGTGCCTGCTGCTTTGCTGTTGTTACCCGGGATAGCTTTTGCTGAAGAATGAGGTGTTTGTTCAGGTTAGGTTTTGCGGTGGTGGTGACTTGAACAGTAGATAGTTGGGGAGAAGAAAAGAGGCGGGTATGGCTGGCACATGGAGCTGGGAGACGTCCACACTGGACAGAGTGACCAGACTGAACTGTGCATGCAGTGTCTATTCTTAGTTCATTAAAGCATAGCTGATACCAACAGCCAGAGCCGCCCTCTGGATTTTGACACGTTATATTTTAGTAAACAATTTCTTCTTTTAAGTCGTTGACATAAGATATAAAGGACCATAAAATTTCATCAGAGTTGTACGTCCAGTTTTGTTTGGTTTTTGGCCACAAAAGAGGGTTTTGGAGTTAGACCTGTTTCCCCGTTATTTTTGATGATGAGTGTCCAAGTTTGGATGTTAGAAACTGCTGCCAGCCTTGGTGGCGCTCGCCTGTAATTCTTGGCCAACTTGGGCCACGCTGTGAATTCAAGGCCGTCCCGAACTACGTAGTGAGGGAAAAGCAAGGGCAAGGGCAAAGGCAGTGGCAGCTCTGCGCCACTGCCAAAGGAGACGCCTCCGCCAACCCCGTTCATCTGAAGGGTGCCCGGGGTGACAAGCGCTAAGTACTCATCTCCCTGTGGCGCTCCGGGCTTTTGTGGTTCTGCTCTTGTTATTTGCATGTCGGTACTTTAAAAAATGTGACCGTGAGTTCGCTACCCAGCACCCAAAAAAAAGTGACTCTGACCTCAGGGAAGTGACATGGCCATCTGTGCCCCTCCCGGCCTGCCCTGCCCTGCAGCAGCTTGTAAAGACAGCGCTAATGCTAACGCGTGCCGGAACGTCCTCGACCCCAAGGGCTCCCTGTTTCGTCTTCTGTGAGTTGAGCCTCTGACACCCCGTACAGACACGAGGGTCCGGCCGGTCTCCGCCCTCGGCGGCACGGCCTTGCCTCCTGGAGTCCGGGGCTGGCGCAGCCCGCGAGCGCTGGGTGTAGCCGCCGTGTGCACATGAGGGTCAGGCGCTGAGCACGGGACAGACCGGCGTGGCGGCTGTGAGAACCCACCCGGATTAGCCGCACGCCCGCGTAAATGATTCAGGGCAGTGGGTGCGGCGGGAGCCCAAAGCCAGGGCCCCTGGCCACCGGGGAGCGGGCGGGCAGAGGCCGGCTGCTGGGCTCGGGGTGCGGCGTGCGCGCTCTCGCTCTCCCCGACGCGCGCGCCCCACCCTCTTCCGCCGTGCGCGCTCCGCCCACTCCGGCCGTCGGGCCGCGGGGATAAAGAGCGCTCGTGCTCTGTAGCAGCGGCTGCGCCTTCAACACACACAGGCTACGGCGCTGGCACCGCGCGGCCCCGCTGCTCCGGGTGCAGAACCTGAGCTTACCTGACGTCCGTTTTCTAATTTTTGATCCGTTGTGCCGCAGTCTTGCCGGCCTCGCCAGGTAGGGGTCAGGGTCGGGCCAGGTCCGAGTCGGGGGCTGCGGGGAGAGCTGCGTGGGGAGGCCTCCGCGCGGATGCAGGTGGCTCCAAAGCCGGCCTCCCTGTTTCACTGTTTCACTAAGTGACGGAGAGGGGAGCCCAGGGCGTCTCCAGGTTACGCTGCGAAAGGTCGGCCTACGTGCAGCGGGTGGGCGCGCAGGGCCACGGAGGAGGAGAGGGAGGCACGGCGGCCGAAGCCCGGAGGGGGCCACCGAGGCCACCCCCAGCCGGCTTCTGCGCTTCCTCCTCCCGGTACTGGCACTTGGCCAAGTCCGATTACCAGGAGCCTGGGGTGACAGCCAGGGGCGCCGTGCTGGTCTGGAGTGTACCTGGCCCCACCAGACGGTTCTCCACAGTCCTGGAGAGCCGTGCTTGTGATGCATGGAGTACTGGACGCACCACTGAGACTCTGGCAGTGCACTGAGATGGTAATTTTCAACCCCGAGTTTGGCTGGTAAGAATTTATGGGTAAAAACACATTGGAGAAAGAACGGGCTCACGTGCGAGGGAGTACCCAGGATTAGATTTAGGAGACCACATTCCAAACCCAGGACCTACCCCTTCGAGCTGTGACCTTTTGAAAGGGTTCTCAAACTGTGTGGGTGTTTGGTGTCATCTGTCAGATGTGAATGTGAATGGTGCTTTAAAGGTATTATTAAGGTTTTTACAACTTTTTGAAACATTATTTCTGGTGCAGAGGCTGCAACCCTGAGCCTTTCACATATTTTACCACTGAGCTACATCTCCAAGCAGGATTTTATTTAACTTGTGATTTGTGTGGGTCCCAAGAGGACTGTAGCTTTTTAATATATTTTTTTAAAGGCAGAATTAATTATGTAGTGCAAGCTGGCCTTGAATTCGATTGTGTAGGCCAGGCTGGCCTCAGACTCGTGAGGAGTCCGCTGAGGCCTTTTAGTAATTTTGTGGTTTAACGGATAATGATTTAGCTTCAGTTGTGGTTAGTTGCTCACTTCCAGCCCTAAGATTTTTGGACTTCGTAACTAGGATTGTGCAAAAGCATTGTCAAAGTACAGGGTGTGTGGTTTGTGGAACTCCCTCTAAAGAAACACCGGATCACGTTACTGGTTTAAGGAATATGTGTGTGTTTCTCTCCCTCGCCTTTGTTTTCTCCGACTCTGAACTTAGGTCAGAGGTCCTGGAAAGAGGAAAGTTTTAGAAAGAAATGAACTTTATCTCAAAAAGCAAACATTTAACATAGACCTCATTGGGATGTGCTAGGGCCATGGTTCTGATCATAAACTCAAAGATAAAAGGCTTATTTTAGTAACTTAATTGAATTTTAGAATTAGAGCTCATTTGGCCCGTTGTTTGTACAAGTGATAAACAGGCAGAAAAGCTTGTGTACAGAGTCTGGAGGTGGTGAACCTATAGCACAAGTGAGCCCCACCAGGCTGTTTGTGTCATTGAGAAGTCTACAAGGTTTGCCATCACTGGTTTAGACTGTTGAGTTTTGGCCCTAAAAATGATTTGCCTTTTGCTGTGGTGCATGGTGAAAGACCAGCTGGGGCACTATCAACAAGTACCGCTGTCTCTCTGGAGGAAGCTAGGCCCAGAGCGGAACCACACCAAGGTCATAGTACTGAGAAGTAGCTAAGGGTTCCGAATCAGGACCTTCTCACCTGCAAGGCCTTGCCCTTTTGTTTGCTGCCTTTTACTCTCAGAGCAGGAGACTACTGAGACCCCCACACTCAGCCAAGCCTAATGCCAAGAACGCCTGAAGTGTCAGAGTGAGGGGTGCGCAGGGGCTGGCGTGAGTGTCACCGTCACCACCGGCAGGTAGAGCCTCATACTGTCAGGTGCAGCCCAGTGGCTTGGGACTAAGCGGTGGCTGTTGACCAGGCTGAAGTATAGACAGGCTCTCTCACCACAGTCACTCAGCACCAGCTAAACTGTCTGAGGAGCCCACAAAAGCACTAGAATTAGAGCAGCCAAGTCCCAGGGGCCAGTTTTAATTGGCGTGGTAATAAAGATCCCTAGGCAGTAATTCCTACACAGAAGTACCTGATGTGACTGAGAGACGATGTGCTTACCTCTCCTGACAAGGGAAAAAAACTTTGAAATGGCCCAGTTTGCTTTCTCTTTTTAGTTCTGCTTGCTTGCTGCTTTTTCTGTCTGTAAAACTAAAGGGCTCCTGCTCAGCGCGTTGGAATGTATGTTTTGTGAAACAAAGTGTTGCCTAATCTAGAATTGAAAGTGAGGCCAATGGAGATTCTTTAAATTGTTGTAATTGTGTCCTTGGGTCCTGCCTTTACTGTGTGCATCTGTCCAGAGGAAGGGAGGCCCACAGTTAAGTTCCTAAGTCAGGGGTCTCGGGCGTGGAGACACAGCCACATCTCAGTTCTGCCAGGCTCCAGAGTGGAGTGCGTCCTGCCCTCCACATTGACCCCTTCACCTGGAACTGGTGGTGTGCTACTGTGTGAGCTGATCACTCACACCAGTCTGTTTTAAAGCCTGCCCGGCAGTGCCCATGTAATCTAAGGTTCCCCCTGGGGCGGGGTTGATTTTAGATCTGAAGGCTCCCTGCTGCCCTCCCTGCTGGTGGGCAGGCATTTGCCTGGCTCCTTCCTCCGGATCAGGGATGTGGCAGCTGACTGCCCTGTGACTGCTCCACAGGGAGGAGGGGGATTCAGCCCAGGGCAGTAGGGGCCGGGCATGTCAGACTGGCTGTGAAGACAGGAAGCAGGTTTTCTTAGTGGACCCCAAGTGGACCGTTACTCTAACGTGATTGTTTTGGAGGGTAACACTCACTGTAATTTGGAAGAATACAGAAAATTTTTCCAAATTGGGGAAAATCACCATTGCTATTTTGTGACCTCATCCTGCATCCTGTGGGTAGCTGATGGGGGAGCAGCCTCTCTCTCTCTGCCTTTCCCTTACCCTTGTGGGAGTGCTTTGTTATTTCCTGAACGTCTCCTTCTCGTGGCCTAAGTCATCCATTTCGCAGGTGTCTGAGAGTGATAATCAAATCCTCCAGAAACTTAGGCAAAGCACCTTCCCTCCTGTGAAAGTTTTCCATGGTTTGGGGGTCTTTTCTCCTGTACTAAGTACCCCCTTTTAAAGTGTGTTACCCATAAATAAATTCCAGCTTTAGTCCAGTCATTATGGAACGAATTGGTCTTGTGACAGGCATAGTACCGTGGGTGCAGTCATGTGGCCCAGCACACCACAATCATGTAGACCTTGTTTTCAGTTAAAGATCTTGGTTCTTAACAAAGCAAATACTGTGAAGTTTGGTGGTGCACTTAGGAGGCTGAGGCAAGAGGATATTTTTGCTGCGAATCCAGGGCCAACCTGGACTACAATAGTGAGACCCTGTCTCAAAAAGGAAAAGTATCATTAAGAAGGGTATGGTGGCATCTTCCCATAATCCTAGCTACTCTGGAGGCTGAAACAGTAGGTCACAGGTTTGAGGCCAACCTGAGCAATTTAGTGAGATCCTGTCTCAAGAAACAAAGAGTGTAAGGTACAGAGAACCTAGCACTCCCTAGGTTCAATCTCTGCTTTAAAAAAAAAGAAACCTCTTCTTCCTTATTCAAGTACAAACGCTGCACATCTTGTAAGGCGTCCCAGCAATGCAGAGGTTGTTGCGGCCAGACTTTGTCACAGCCCCACGTTTTCTCTTTTAACAGCTGCCTGCTTTGTTTTCATCCAGGTAAGCAGAGAAAACAGTTGAGTGGTAGGAATGTGCCTCGGGAATCCTGACACCCAGGGCCCTCCTCACACACAGCACCCAGGGCTGCAGTGATCAGGGTTTCCTTTTCCTCGCGTTTGGAAACTATCTCTTGATTGTAGACCTTCTGTTTGTCTCCTTACATCACTGTGTGCTTTCTTCCCATTCCTGTCTCGTCTCCCCTGATCCTCAGCTCACTAGCGAGCCCTCTGTATTTACCACACCCCTTCCTCTGCGTACCTTTTTTATACCAAGTATTTTGAAAATATTACTGTAGTATGTTGCTGGGGTTAAACCCAAGGCTTTGTTCATGTTAGGCAGGTACTGCACTGCAGAGCTGTATGTCCCAGGCCTTTTTTAAATTTTGAGATAGGGTCTTGCTAAGTTTCCCAGACTGGCCTCAAATTTGGGATCTTCCTGCCTCAGCCTCCCAAGTAGCCATATGAATTCTCAAATGATTGGTTAGCAGCTTAGTTTCAGAGTAACTGGATGCTGCCTTACATTTTAGTCTGGATCTGCTGAGGAACGCTTGCGTGTGTTGTGAATAGAAACCTGCCGTGGTGGAGGTGGTGCTGGTGGTGCTGGAGCTGGGGCTGGGGCTGGGGCTGCGGACTCCATCCTCCGCCTCATCCGTGCCCGGCAGGTGCTTTTACTGCTCGGCCATGTCTGCAGCATGGAAACTTACTTTCTAATTAGTGCTCTTTTCATCCTTTTGGAAACTGTCCAGTCAATTTGAGACCATTAGTGTTGTCTTCAAGGATATTTTGTCACAAGGAAATGCCACTTCAGGAGACTTGGGGGTTTTGTAGCATAGTTGGAAGAGGGGAAAGAGGAGGATTTGCATGTGCTGGGTTTGGGTCTGCACTGGAGGGAAGCTAAGTCAGTCCAGTTGGGAGCCATCACACGCAGTGGGAACAAGGTGATTGATTAAAAGGGAAGCCCTGTTGTGTAAGAAGAGTGCTAACTGGGTTTTTTCTCTTTACTCTTTTGAAGAAACAGTGAGCAGAATGAACACCACCCAGGACCAGAGCAGCTCCACCAGTGTCCGAGAGCCCCTTCTGCGGTGTAGCGACGCGCGCCGGGACCTGGAGCTTGCCATTGGTGGAGTCCTCCGGGCCGAGCAGCAGCTTAAAGATAACTTGCGAGAGGTGGGATGTGCGTTTTCTTTCTTCTCTGGATTCGGGACAGCGCTGGGTAAAGCATGGCCAAAGGCTTGGCTTCTCACAGTGCCAGAACATTCCGCCCTGTGCCGCATGCTGTCTATGTGTTGCAGTCAGCAGCTGGGCGTGCTGATTCCAGAGGCAGATAAGGCAGGTGGGAGAAGCCTGGAAAACGCTGTGGTGCCCCAGAGACCACCATGCAGTGTGCATCTCTAATTGTGCTCCGCCTGGCCCCGGGCCGGGCACTGTACTGGTGGAAGCTGTCAGGGTGGAGCAGTCTCCTGCTTAGCTGGGTCTGCTGCGTGTGTGAGTGGTAGACGTCCTGCCCTGTGCCCCAGTCCTTGCTGGCTTTGTCATGCTGGGAGCCAGAACAAAACCAGAACGTGGCGGTGGTACTCTTAGGTGACCGCAGGCAGTGGTGCTTGACTCTGAAGTACCCTTTGTTACACGGAAAAAATGCTCTTGTTTGTTTGGAGGCAGGATCTTGCTATGTAGTTCAAGCTGTTACTTGCTTGAATGATCATGAATGACATGTAGCAGTTTTAATGTTCTCCTTTGGGTTTTTTTGTTTATCCCTTGTGTGATTCACTGTTTACACTCTGAGCAGCGTTTTTACTTCATAAGCTTCCACCATGATAGTCTTCTAGCACTTGGTGTCCTTGCTGCCTCAGCCTGCTGCAGATGGACCTGCTCATGGCCAGCTCTTAGGTCCATCCTCTGTCTCTTTCCCCCGATGAACTGACAAAGCCATGTATTCTAAATTGTTTGGAAAACTGAGGAGATCAATATCTTCCGGCGTATTCTTGGGTTTTTTGGTGATTTTTTTTTTTTTTTAATTTGGTTTTGTTTCTTGGGATTTTTTTTCCCTTCAGTTATACCAGGACACCCAGATTAACCTGATGTTCTTAGGAGGAGGAGTGTGGAAGGAGGACTTCAGAGATTGAGTGTATCTTTGAGGCTGAGATTCTTAAACAGGGCTCTTCAGGTCCACAGGTAGGCTTTTGGACCGAAACTCTGAAATTACAGGCAAAATGCAGAGCATACACATTTTCATGCTGAGACACTCCATAAATGTTACGTCATCAGAAGGATTTACACCCACAGACTTTTAAGGCCTCCCCATATTGTGTCTGCCTCGTCCTCAGGTGAAAGCGCAGATTCACAGCTGCATCAGCCGCCACCTGGAGTGCCTGCGCAGCCGCGAGGTGTGGCTGTACGAGCAGGTGGATCTCATCCATCAGCTCAAAGAGGAGACGCTTCAGCAGCAGGCACAGCAGCTCTCCTGGGTAAGGGGCGTGGGCGTGGGCGTGGCTGGGAGATGCCGTTCTGCAGAGAGTATTCTCCCCGTGATGCCGCATCTGCCAAAGTCACAGAGAACTTTCATCTCAAGTGCTGCTTTTTACCTTGGGCACACTTGGTGCTTTTAATACTATTATGGCTAATAGCTTTCATTTCTTGTAGCTCCTGGGCCAGTTCAATTGTCTTATTCATCAGCTGGAGCGCACCCAAAGCAAAGATCTAGCCAATCAAGTCTCTGTGTGTCTGGAGAGGTAAAAACCCTTTTTGCTGGTTTTGACTTTTTGCCTTTGGCACAGTGAAAGAAAGTCCATCTTGTAACTTACATCTGTTAGGAATTAACTTGATTTGTTGGCTCTTGTGGTAAGATTCTTGCTTTATAGATTTACGCTTGCTGATAAGTAATTAAGCCATCTACTTTTATTGTTTATTTAGAAAAGTACAGTCATTTAAAACATGTTTGCAGTTCATTGCACATAGAATCGTGGGAAGAATTAAGTTTGTGAACCTAAATACCACTCTGACTCAGTTTGGCTTTTGTTTTTGAAAATAGACACAGCCTGTTTATTTTTTCCCCAGACTGGGTAGTTTGACCCTTAAGCCCGAAGATTCGACTGTCTTGCTCTTTGAAGCTGACACTACCACACTGCGCCAGACCATCACCACGTTTGGGTCCCTGAAGACCATTGTGAGTAATGTGGATCTCAGGTGCTTCCTGGTGCCTCACAGCTGCTCTCAGCACTGTGAATTGTGGCTTTCTAGAGGCACAAGCTTCAGAAACTTCCTGTTCCAACTACAATAATTACATAGTAGGGAACTCTCAGACTTGATCATTTCTTTGTAGATCATTGAATGTATTGTAAATATACTATGGAAATAGTAATGATTTGCTTCATCCATTTGAAATTGTTTCTGTCTCTCTTTTTGTTTTTTGTAGGGAGACCTAGCATAAATAACACTATGAAATTGTCTTTATTTTGACAGCAAATCCCTGAGCATCTGGTGACTCATGCTAGTTCAGCAAGCATTGGGCCCCTCCTAGAGAAAAGAGGTCACATTCCAGTGCCAGAGCAGGTGAGGTGCTGCTTTGTTTCTGGTAACTGAAGCATGGCTTATGTTTTTGTTGAGTTTTGACCAAATCACTTTTCCCCTACTATTTATTTGTAAAAAACCTTCTGTGCTTATGAATTACTTTAGCCATTTGAATTATTTTTTGCATTACTGAATGTCAAGTTGTTTTGTCTTTAAAAAAAAAAAAAAAAGAAAACTTACTGATTAGTTCATAGTAAATTATCATTAGTCGTCACTGGTTTTGGTTGTCTTGGGGATCCTTTCTAATTCACAGAGGAGACGTGTGGAAAGGCAGATCTTAGGCATCTGACTCAGACAAACTTAGCTGTATTCCTTGCTTTATCCTGGAAACTGAGATGTGGGGAGGGCCCACACCTTGCTCAGGGCGGGAGACGGCCCACGGCAGAGAGCTCAGGTGAACCTGTTCTTGCACTTGACCATGCCTTGCTAAACACCAACTTTTCTGTATGAGCAGCAGAAGTCAGCGGCCAGCAGCGTGGCTGTACCCGTCAGCGAGTGGCTTCTTGGAAGCAAATCTGCCAGCAGTCGCCAGGCTCCTTTCATGCCCAGCACTAACCCGCAGGACTGGCTGAGCCACAAACAGAGCTTCGAGAACAGCCAGGTGCGGTGTTGGCCTCACGGTTCCTGAGGTCCATGCAGTAGTTGATGGGGTTGATGACTAACCAGTAGTAGGTCTTTGTTTTGCTTTTGACCATAACCTGGAAATATGTTTTTTAATTACACATGGAAACATAATTTTAACTTTCTGTCTCTTTATTATGGATAGAAAGTTTTAAAAACAGATTTTTTCCCCCAGTAATATGACATGAATGTATTTCTGTCACTAATTTCTGTAAAGTCACTTGTGGCTGATAAATCATCAATTGGGCAGAACTTTCTCATTTTTCTGGACATGAGTGAAGTTGTCCTAAACATTCATTTTTGTACATTCTTTCCATTCTCAGATGACAGTTCTGCCTACTCCTTAAAATTTGTGATACAAATTTCCAAGAAGTTGGGGACAGTTGATATTCTCACCTGCAGAGGATTCACTGACCCCACCCACTTCATGGAACCTTTTTAATCAAAATGCCAAAAGTATTTTTCTTACTTTGCTTTTTATATTTTTCAGTTTTCTAAAACTATAAAAAGTAAGAACTTTTATGTAGTTGGATACATCTATTTTAATGACAAACAGAAATCTCTTCTTGCTTTACTGTGTACTTAAATTTAGAAATATTGGGCAAGACTGTAAATATGCAGACAGAAGCCCCACGCGTCCCCATCTTTCTGGCAAACTAACGTCTGTATTTCCTGTGTAGACGTCTGCCAGAGCCTTCAGTGTCTTCAGTGATGTCTGGGGCAACCTAAAGGGCTTAGAAAACTGGCTGCTCAAGAGTCAGCACCCAGCAGTTCCTGGAAGACCAAGTTTCCCGAAGCGCAAGAGCCACTCTCCCAGCAGTTCCCCTTCCGTTGAAGCTGAGAAAGCTGGCAATTTGGAGAATCTGGATCAAGATGCCCTGGGGCTGTCTGAGTGGCTGGTGACTCCCCAGGAGCCCCACAAGCTAGAGAAGCCTGAGAGCAGCAGCCAGGAAGCTGGTGAGAAGTTTAAGCACCTGTTCCCAGCGTTCCAGGAGCCTTACAGTGTGAGTGAGTGGCTTGCCCAGCCTGCCTCCTGTACCAACTGTCAGGGCAACCAGCCCAGAGGGGTGGAAATCGAAAACCTGGGCAATCTGAAGTGCCTGAACGATCACTTGGAGGCCAAGAAACCGCTGTCCACGCCCAGCATGATTACTGAAGATTGGCTTGTCCAGAACCAGCAAGAGCCATACAAAGTAGAGGAAGTGTGCAAAGCCAACGAGCCCTGCACAAGCTTTGCGGAGTGTGTGTGTGAGGAGAATTGTGAGAAGGAAGCTCTGTGGCGATGGCTTCTGAAGAAGGAAGGAAAGGATAAAAATGGGATGCCCATGGAAGCCACGTCTGAGCTTGAGAATCACAAGGAGCTCACCGAGTGGCTCTGTCCTTCCGGAAAAGAGGCAGTGGAACAAGCTAAGGCACTAAAGGCGTTCAGTCCTTCAAGAATTGCTGATTCCTTCCAGGTCCTCAGAAACAGTTCCTTGTCAGAGTGGCTTGTCAGGCCCTCATGCAAAGAAGGGAGCCCCAAGAAAGTGCCAAATACTGGGGACCAGGTTGGCAAGCCAAAGCTTAATAGCCCCATGACCACTTCCTGGTGCTCCTTTAACACTGCTGACTGGGTCTTGCCTGGAAAGGTGGAAAGCATCAGCCAGTCCTCTGGAGACAAGTGGCTCCTGCGAAAGAAGGCCCAGGTAAGCAGATGTCCACAAATGCCATTTGCGTTTTGCATTTTAAATTCCAAACTTTGCAGATGGCCCAGATCCCAAAATATGTTAAATTTTAAATTTGGCTCAGGTATTAGTTTAGGCATGTTAGGCAACAGGAGGACTTAGGATTATTCAAGGTAAATTGTGTCCCCTGGTCTTGAAGTCCCATCCTGCAGGAAGTGGGGGGACCCAGCCTATATTATTGCTGCCTATCAAAAGGATTGGGGATAGAAAAAGCAATTGTCACCTTTGCCCTTGGTTGTTAGAAAAAAATGGCCAACATTTATATTATTCTTTGTAGATACTGCTAGCAGTTAAGTCTGCCTTGTGTGGCCTGGTTGTCATGAGGCAATCAATCACCTTTTCTTTCTTCCTGCAGGAGGTATTTCTTAATTCACCCCTACAAGAGGAACATAACTATGCGGAACGCTATGGCCTCCCAGCTGTTTGTGATCTCTTTGCTTGTATGAAGCTTACACTTGATAAGGAAAAGTGGTTGTATCGAACCCCTCTACAGGTGGGTACCTGGAGAGCTGTCCTTATATAGGAATTCCCACCTAACCCATTGAGCCATTCTGCTGTTAGCTTGGGGGATGGGGTAGGAGCAGTACTGTATTTTGGAGCTTGGTCTGTCACAGGCATACTGAAAAAGGGACCTTGCAAGATTAACAATGAGGAATTCCCATATTCCCATAGATCCTGCTCACTCATTGAGCAAAGAGTCAGTCTGCAGGGGACATTTGCTTTTCTTTCCTGGTGAAGTGACTTCGCATCTGTGGCTTCTTTACAGATGTGAAGGAGAAGACCGCCACTCCGGAGCTTGTCTACGGATCATCTCACTTCCGGCCGGGAGATGTAGCTGCCTCTCCATTGTGTTTCTGGATCTGACCAATCAGCTTAGCTCCTTTCCTGCCTGAGTTTGAGCTAGCCAAGAGACCTCATCAAATTATGGGCCACTTTGTTACAGAAAGAGGCTGTTGGTTGATGCTGAGGTGATTTGTTTCTCCTGTATGAATTTTCCCTGACACTGGGAAGGCAGTGTTGTGGGGCCCAGGCCTCTTGACACTGGATTGTTCATGGAATCACGTAAATACCATAGTCTCAAAGTAAACCACCTATGTTCAGCATCCTGAAGCTAGCAAACTCCCGAGCCTTTTTCTGGCCCCTTACCTGCTTCTCTTGCTGTGGGTTTTCTTGGCTTAGTGGTCTGAAAATGATTGTCCTGTTAAATTAATACACAGCCTACTGCACACAGAAATTAATCTGGCCAATATGGTGGTATTTTTCCCTTACCAAAATGTGTATTAGTAATCTTGGCTATTTGTGACACTAATTACCAGACATTGTAGCCTACTTATCAACCTGACATTTTTTTTCTTCATTCCTTTCTCTGTAACTGAATTATTCAGAACCCTTTGAGGACTGTACTGTTTCAAAAACCCTTTCAGGTTTGTCCCAGCTTTTTTTCCAGTATCCACACACCTACAGGCTCTAAAGAGTCCCAGCTGGAGATGTAGTACTTGAACCATTCGCCACCTTAGGGATTTCTGGTGCATCCTGTGTAAACGAAACCTGAGCTTAACACCTGGTGCTTTTGCCTTGGGGTGGTCGATGTCCTATGGATGCAAGCCCAGCATTCCTGTACCTCCAAAAGTACAGTGCAGTGGCATTTTAGTGGACAGGTGGTTTCAACACTTGTGCCTTGGGGTGCTTACTGAAGTTTTATGGATGAAACCATTGGTTGGTTTCTCAGTATCCTTAAAGTCATGTTTAAACCTTTTTCTGCAGGAAGTGAGTGAGACTTGTTTTACAATTTTGAGATCTTAGCTGCCTTCCAGGCTTCAATACTATTAAGCCTCTTAACTGCCTGTGTTACTGGAAATACTTAGAAGGAAATAGTCTCACAGTGACACTGTCATACAGTCCTTTGAACCACAGCTGAAAGAAGCCTCTCATTTTGTCATCCTGCCAGGTATCACTGAGAATTATAATAAAGGCGATGGGTAAAAACAACTTAGCCTTTCCAACATCTTAGTTGCAGGAAGCTTTGTAGGCTCATTTTTGAGATCTAGCACACCCTAATATACATTAATCACTACGGTAATGAGTATGTAAACTATTCTTTTGCACTGATGTGTTTTATACCTCCCTCCATTAAAAGTGTAACAGCCATGCCACAGTTGTTATGTGTATATTTGTACGGCTAAGCAAAAAAAGTGTGTTACATAAATATGGTACACGTGGTTAGAGTACAGCCAGGAAGCAATTTAAACATGAATGTTGCATTCGCTGTAATTCATGAGTCTTAACAAGTATAGTGTATTACTGCTTCCATTTTCAACCTCTGCCTGAGAAGTCCACGTCTGGTTTTACACTGGACTCGGCACTGGGGCTCAGTGCTTTGCCACAGGTTTCCTTTATTAAGTGTGTCCACAACAGCCCGATCACACACCCAGTGGTAGTTTGTGTTAAGTGTATATGTAAGCCGCAGAGCTAGTGTGTTAGATTTCATTTTAGGAATAATAAAACAGACTCAGAAAGTAAATATTTTGCCCTTACTTCCTTTGGTTTTCCCAAGGCTTCCTGGGAAATGTCTAATCCGAGTCCATCCCAAGGAGGAGCAGGATGGAGTGTGGTGCTGGACAGTCTTGTGACACTAATAATCAACTTGAAATTTCCTGGTCTGGCTCTTGCCAGCTCCATAAGTTACTGCCACCAGCAGCCCGTCATTCATTCCAGTACAAACAAAACAAAAATGCCAAGAGTAACTTCCATAACTCACACATAGTTTTCAAATTGAGACACTAACTTCTGGTTTACACTGGAACAAGAAGTTTGGTTCTGTTTTCACCCTTTATTTAGAGTACAGGGCAGTATGACAGTTTCAGGTCATTAATAAATCTGGTGGTGATAAAGGACTGACAGTAAGTATGACCTGAATTCTGGAAAAAAGTGGCTGCAGGTGCAAGATCATTTCCAAAGAAGAGAACCATGTCACTCAGTGAGCCACCAAAGGGCTTTGGCTTCAGTCAGGGCAAGAAGGGCTGCCGGTCCCCGGGTATCTGTGTTGTCCATGATCTTGATTACAGCAAATCAGAATCTCCAATTTTTCAAGTGAATTGTAGGCAGGAGAAAATTAATCCAGACTGAATATCGGTAACTACCGGAAATGTCCTCTGCGAGCCGGTGGAGTCTTCAGAGTGACTGGTGGAGCAAGGAGCCCTTCATGTGCTCCCAGTTGTTATACAGTGCATACAGGCCGGTAAGCGTGAGGCCTGCTAGACCCCCTCGTGCGACCCCTCGAAGCCCACCTACAAGAGAAGGAAAAGGAAATGAAAGTGCGTACAGTGCAGCTTCTAGTCCTGAGGGCTATGCAAGTGGCGGCACAGGGAAAGATCTATATCCTTGTAAAGGAGTGTTCAATTCCAGACAGTAAGTTTTGAAGTAACGAGAAAGACTTAAGTCAGAGGACAAGTTCCCCAAGCCGTTTGTTTAATATGTTTTGATAATTGCATATTCACATTTTCCCTATAGTTTTCATCCTGTACTTAAAATCCTCAAGATGAAAGATTTTCTCAATCCAACTTAAAATTAGAGCAGTTACGGTAAGTCTCACACCAAGGTTCCAACCACTCAGTCATTTCCTGCTAGTTACAAGATTTATACTAAACTAGCAAAAAACTTGTGCTTAACAAGGTGAAAAACCTCTGTGGAAGTTTTAACAGCCCTTGGACTCAACAGTTCCTCCAAATATTAAATGAGGATTCAAGAATTAGTCGTAGTGAGCTGGCTCACAACAAGTTCCGAGTTAGGGCTAATGGGACACCACCCTAACGAGTCCCTTGCAACCTACTGAGGGTAGCCACCTCGCAGTATCAGTCTGGTTGGAAAAAGTCAAGAATGCTTTGAACTAATGCTGCCTGGTAACAGTACATTTTTTCATATGGAAAATGATTTCGGTAAAATACAGAAATGTTTCAGTCACAGAAAAAAAAAAAAAAAAACCACCCAATCTAGTATGAGGAAGTGGCAGATATTTCTCAAAATAGAAAATGCCCCACTTATGGTTATGTCAGTCTTACAACTCTTACGTGGTAAAGAGAAACCAAACTGAAAAACTCCACATGAGGGGGTTCCCAAAGAGTCTTCCAAGAATGTGATACATCTTGAAGCTCCATAAACAAGTAAGGCCCACAGACCAGATGGCCCACACTGTAGCTGGAGTTTGGGAGACATAGGTGGGATGGATCCATGGTGATGGTTCTTACTGGAATCCCCTGACCTCCATGCCAGTCAGTTCTGCAAAATACAGCGATGCTGCTCACTGGAACACCTCAGAACTAGCCATTTCTCAGTAAGTCTACCAGATGTCTTTGGCTGATAGATTAAAGGGAGCCACTCCTTGCAGGAATCTCTCCAGTCTGAAGCCTTCTGATAGTTGTTCTACTTGGCTTGCACTGTGAAACGCCACGATTATCTGTCTTAAACACACCCACACAAGCTGCAGGCATCACCCATAACCTGGTGTGAAGTGTGTGGGATGGATAGCAAAACATTTCAAAAGTCTCACAAATCAAAGTAAATGGATGGTTAGGTCCTTGACGTCCACATAATTCATCATCTTACTGCATTTCGATGGTAGGCAATGCCAGCTTAATCTGTAATGGATTAAGTATGGCTTAAACATTACCAAAACTTAAAAAATAATGCACATTCAACCTGCTAACTTAAAATAATCCATTCAGTTTAATAATGATCAATGTCATGCCTTTGACTACCAAATCAAGGAAAAGTAAATGAGATCAGATTCCTAAAAATGGAAAAAAATTAACTGAGGCACAGGAAAATAAAACACTAACCGCATCTACAACAGCATCATTATGTCCTAGTTACTGGATTTAAAACTGTAGTGTCATGAGGGTTCTCTCAAGCAGGCAGCCAAAATGGAATGTTCTGAAGTCCATTCAAAACACGGCAGTGGCCCCTGTACCCTGCCTGAGCTACTACTTGTTAGCAGAGAAATGAGAGGAAAGGTAAACGGAAACACACTGATCTTACAGACACTTTGCTGTGACCAAACCTTCAGCTTCACATGGACACTCTGGACCCCTAGGCCATGACAGAGCCACCGTCTACTGCAAACCACTTCTTGCAGCTAAGCTTTCTTTGAGTGTCCTAGGAACACAGCTCCTACCTGGCTATATGGAAAAATTTCCACACAAGTTTTAAGCTGTCAAATACGCTTCCATGGAAATCCTCTGGCAGAGACCCTTGGAGTTCCACAGTGACAACTGGATGTGTAAGGCTTTATGATCTTCGGAACACCAGGGAAAATTAAATACCTTTTGGAAGAATTTATTCCCCTGAAAGCTTTGTATTTTTCAAAAAAAATGAAACAAAAACTTACTTCAAACCAATGACAGATGTTAGGCCTTTAAAGACTGGAACAATTATCTCCAGCAAGAGGAGAACCTCTGCAGTGTCTGAAGTACTCACCACGCAGCTAACTCTGATTCAGGGGCAGCCTTTTATCATGTGCCAGCCATATCTTTACTCTTTCCCCTAATTCCAGGGCTTCCCAAGTGGTTGACTTTTAAGAAGTTTAAGGAACTTTGCCTTAGTTTTTCTCTAATCAAGTAACTTCTGACCAATTAAACACAGCAAGTAGATCAGCAAATATACTTGCTTTGAACACAGTGTAAGCAAATAAGACCAATGGTCAGTCTCCATAAAGCAAAACAACACCTGTGTTTCAATGTGACCTCATGTATTTTGCACCCTTACAGTACACTTCAGAGAGGGCAAGCATTACATTTTCTAAACATGTGCAAACGACACCCAGAACACTTAAATGCCTTGTTTTGGGCATACAGAGCTAACTATAAAAACAGTTTACAACAGAGATTAGCAAATCTCTCTACAAGGTCTGATAGTAACTACTTCAATCTTTGAGGCTCAAAAGCTATTACACAGGTACTTCTTTACCATTTAAAATGTGACTATTTAGAAAAGATAAAACGTAAGTCTTGGCTTTCAGATAGCAAACAGGCAGCTGCTAGCAGTTGCTGGCCCTGCTTTAGAGAAACAGACAACTTCCAATTCACTGGGAGGGCTAGCAGGCCTGCTCAGCAGTAGAATGCGCGCTTTGCATGTGAGAGGCCCTAAGTTCAATTCCCAGAACCAAAAAATATACACAAACAGTGGAACAATAGACAACAATAAACATGACCGTTACTATTTTCAGGGGTGCAGTTCAGCAGCATTAAGAGCATCTGCACTGTTGTGCTGTTATCACTAACATACATCCCAGAGAGCTCATCCTGCAAACCTGAAATTACCCATTAAATGTAACTCTCACTCCCAAACCCTGGCAACCACCATCACACCTTTCTATGGCTTTGACTGTCACCCAGTATTTGTCCTTTTGTGACTGACTTAATTCATTTAGCATAATGTCCTTAAGGTTTGTTGATGTTATGTCAGGATTTCCTTCCTTTTTAAGGCTGAATTACATTCCATTGTATGTGGATATCCATTTTATGTATCAATCCATAAATGGATATTTGAGTTACCTCTACCTTCTGGCCAGTGGTATTATAAATAAGAGTGTATTCAACATCATTGACATGTATTTAAACCCTAAGTGTTGGGTCAGAATGGCCTTGACCACATCTGGCTCTAAGACAGAAAAGAAATTAACATTTACTGAGTTATGATTATACCATAACAATTTTTTTGAGCCAGGTTCTTGCCAAACTGCCCAGGGTAGCCTTGAACTTGTGACATTCCTGCCTCTGCCTCCCAAGTAGCTGAGATTACAGGCATGCAACACCATACCCAGCACAATTATACTTTACAAATAAGTACTTACAGTAATTTGTTTCATTTTAAATTCATCAACCAGTAAAGTGATCATATGCAAACTGGATAGATAAGCACAATATTAAGATTTTTTCAGAAGATTATATAGCTAGTGGCACATTCTTAAAACTTCCAACACATTTTTAAAAAACATAACTTAATTACCTGTGTACTAGTCATACCTCTAAAAGATCTCTAATTGGTTGGGTTATTTTATAATACACTAAGGACATTCTGATCAGCTGACTCACCGTTTTTAGTAATTCACAAATATCAGGTAGTATTTTATTATAGATAGAAGAAACCACAAAAGAATCATAAAACTCAGGTTTTCCTGAGACATTTGAGAATAAGAAGCTTGCTCTATAAAATGACCTCATATGCAACTTCATCTTCAAGAGCGCTAACAATATGTCTTATAAGACATGCAGGTCCATGGACTCACATAATCCTGGGGAGACTAAGAATGCACAACTTTTATACCCATAAAGCTTTATCTTGGCATAGAAAAATCTTGCTAAAAAACCAAAAACATTTTCACAATGAAGGTTTTAGGAGGTGACAAATTTAATACTTGGTCCACATGTGGCACTCAGCCAACAAGAGTCTGGCCCAAACTAGGTTAAAAGGTACATTAGTATGCTGAAATACAGAGATTTCAGATGAACTATGGAATCATATCTTTTGAAGAGATGGAAGACACCATGCATAGCGCTTCTAGCCAACAAAAGGCCCCCTCCACTCCTCATTTTCCTACGGGAGGTGGCCACTGCGGTGTTGCCCTTACAGGCAGTGCTGAACATGAAAACACACCAAGTTAGCATCCACCTTAAGACACTGGAGCTACTGCTGAGATGAAAAGGGAAGAGCTGAGTATCTGCTGTTACCAGAAGATGGGAGCTTAAATTTCTGTGTGAGGACTTCCTGCAGTAATGAGGCACAGCACAGAACTCTTCTAACTTAAATTATAGAGAAGGAAATCCTTGGTTCAGAAGAGAAAAAACAAAAGAAAAGCCATTAATTGCGGTCAAGTGAAGAGCAGATTTCGATTTCCAGTGCAACTATGAAATAAACAGCAAGAGGAAGTAAATTAGCTGAACACACAGAAACCACTCTAAAAATAGTGTCCTTTTATTAATTTCTGGTCTCAAACTCAAGAAGACAGATCACAGAAATTAATTTTATGTGGCAGGAATAAAAATGTAACTTCAACTTTCAGACTCAAGGAGCTGGAAGAGAACCTGAGTGCTTTAAGGACGCTGCACAGATAAACCATTAAGGAAGGAACCATGAGCCACAAACCATGATCCATGAACTGAGGGAAAGGCTCATTTCTGCTGACCTAAAATACTTCCAACCCCCAATGTGCTCTTCAAAATAGAAATCCAGAGAGGAAAAACATAGAAAGGCGCTCAGACTGAAAGTCTCAAAATGGAACACAGGAAGCTATTTTAATAGAAAGATCACAAGGAAAAATACGTAAGAAAATGGGTGATTGTCAGACCAGAAAGGCCAAGTTAAAAAGAACTGACAACATGATTTTAACTCAGGTCTCATATTTCCTTGATGTAGTATGCAAATGTTTTTTTCAAAAGATGTACTGGGGGCTCCCTGGGCATGTGAGATCCATTTAATGATGACTAAGTTCTACCTGAACAGGAGCAGCTACAGTTTTCCTATCATCACACAGCTTCAGGACACAAGTGCTCACAGGCAAAAGTGATTAGTAAGCCCTCCTTCTTTGCCAAAACCCGGACAAGTTAGTCCTATGTTTTCATAAGTCAGTTTATAAAGGCAATGTAAGTAAAAATAAGGGGATAGACAAGTTCTAGTTTTTCAAATTAAGCAACTACCATCAGCGTTATTGTGAAAACTTATTGTGTTCATCAATGTTCACTGAATGTACTAAAACACTACCTGGCAAAAGAACCTCTGGATGCCTTCTTTATTATTAGCATCATTTTTTCCAATAATTAAAATTTCATGTTACATACATAAAAGGTAAAAAGCTAACTGCCATGATACATAATACATTTTAGCACATCAGTTAAAGCACCAACTCAATTTAAAACAACAAAGGGTAGTACTTTACGGGAAAATACAAGAAACCACTGACAATCAAAAATTCTCAGTCTCATGAAGAGCCAGAGAAAACTGAAGTGAGACGCTTGGTTGTTTCACCATCTGACACATCACAAGAGCAAAGGTAAGCAAATACCTGGAAGGGATTTGGGCAGGAGCTGTTAGCACGTTAAAAATGTCAACCTTTTGCTTAAATAACTGGGCTCTCAGCGAATTATCCCACAGCACAAAACTATGTAAATGTATTATGGTGTGTGAGGGATACTTCAAGAAGGCCAGACAGACAGACGCAAGACAGACTCAGGAGTACGTGAAGTGCATGTCTGGAAATACTGTTCCAAAAAAAGGGGGCAGGAACAACAGACCGAAGTGGGAAGAAAGGGCAGCGAAGCAGTCACTCCTGGAGCCATGAAAGAGGGCAAGAAAGCAAATCAAAGAAGACTGGGTCTGATGGGCCACCGTACAGAGGACTGGGTCTCACGGGACATTGTACAGAGGACTGGGTCTGATGGGTCACCGTACAGAGGACTGGGTCTCATGCCCACTGTACAGAGGATGTAAACTGGACCTCTGATTACGTCTTACCTTCTAAATATAGTACTGGCACCTGCATGTACTCATGCGTCTACTGTAACTTCCACACTTCTGCATAGAACCTATGCCACACGTTAACTCCAGGTTTACAGACCCTGGAAAATTTTTCTAATGTCCTCACAGAGATCTAGGAAACCTACTACCACTCACAGAAAATAATCACCTAAATGGTCAGGAATCACTGGCAAAAAGAGTTCTGAAAGGACAGAGTACTACTGGTGTCCAAAATAAGTGTGTTGCATCAGTGATCCAGTGCTTCCCAGAAGACACTGAGTGGGAGGAGGGTGGGATGCCATTCAGTCACGCTGCTCCCTCCACAACGTCACAAGACCAAGAAAAGCAAAGCAAGAAAACCACCTTCGAGCATCGCCTGCCTGCGTCTCCCTCAGCCCCGCACTTCCTCAGCTGTACCTTTCACGGTCTGCTGCCTGCCTCGATGCCCATCATCACAGACCTGGAACTTCTGTAGCGGTATTTTTTCTCGACCATTTTAATTTGCTCCAATCTGTCTTACCTACTCTGTATTTCTAGTTTAATCTCCCACAAGAATGACACCAGGACATCCTGTCAAAAGCAGAGAGCTCTGGAGTCTTGTGTAGCTGGAAGTGTCCAAGCTTGCTTATCGAAGGACATCTGTATGGATATATTTTTAACTGACACACAAGTGTACGTATTTATATGGTACTGTGTAGTATTTTGGTCTACACATAGAATGTGTAGCCCTCTGACCAGGTGAGTGACATCATCTGTCACTTGTCTGAGGACCAGGGGTGTAAGTTTAAACTTCTCAGCCTGGCCTCGCACGCTCTGGCCTGAAGTCCTGCCCAGACTTTTCTCCGCGGGCTCCTTATGCTTACCACGGGACCAGACACACCACACATTCAGGCCTTGCTCAACTCCTGTTAGTCCTTTCCCTTTTCTGAAACTTCCCCGGTTTCTTTTTCCTGGAGCCATCTGATGTGGCAATGAATGTCTTTGGAGTCAGATTTGGGGCTGATGAGCACAAGGCCATTAAAGAGCTGGGAAGAAAGCAAAAGTAACTTGCCTGAGTTGCAGGCTGCCCGTAATACAAAGGTGACCTTTACTCCCTTCAGAGGCTGGTAAACAAGATGCTCTATAAATAGCAAGACTTCCTTTCTCTGCCAGTGCATTATACACAATTCTTACAGGACCTAACACAGGATCTCTAGTAGGAAGTTCAACATTCTAAGATTAAAAAACCAACGAACAGCCAGATAGTCGTGTTATTTAGAAACATGAAGGTAAAGAGGAAAGAAAGCAGCTACTTCTGGAAGCAGGAAATTAATTTGCAAAGGAGCGCACAATGAATATGTAAGGGCACTGCACAACACTGAGAAGTTTAGAGTCAAGAACAATCTTAACTTTTAATATGTTATTTTGATGAAATAAAATTATGAAAGATAAGGATGTATCCATAAAATAAAACATAAGTCTGGCACTGGGCTGGGGATGTGGCAGGGTGGTACAGCACGTGCTCAGCCATCACAAGATGCTGGGCTCCATCCCACCTGAAATGTCACCCAAAGTCTCGCGTGTTCAAAGGTGGGCCTGGAAGGCGAGTGCACCATGGGATGAATTCACAGCTGGATGTGCTGCTGCAGAAGGCAGGGCCCGGCTGCCGAGCACATCACTGGGACACGTGTTCAGAGGCTGTGTGTACCTCTCTGGCTCTTCCTTGTGCCCCGCTTCCCGGTGCCCTGAAGTGAGCAGCTCTGCTCCACCATACCCTTCGGCCAGGTTTCTGCTCTGGAGCCTGCTGAACTGCCCTGAAACTATGAGCCAAAATCGTATTCTCCCCGCTTAGGTTGCAGGCGTCTAGTACACTGCCCCAGGAAAGTGACCAATTTGCACCAGAATGTGCATGTGTGCTTGCTCACACACACACACACACACACGCACACACACACACACACACAGTAAAAATTGTAAAATTGGGTATTATCCGCATGTTTCTTTCTAAGCTGATGAAAATGTACACACAGAGAACCATCTCAGCCTTAAAGGAACATTGTGCTCATCCCCAAGTAGAGTTAAGATTTTCACAGGAGTAGTATGCTCTTTATTAAACAGAGCTGGGGCTTGGCCTGAGGTGCACCTTGCAGCACTTAATATACTGATCTCACAGGTCAAACAAAACCAAAATTACTGGTATAAAACAAAACCAGTAATTTTTAATGTTCTATTGGTTAGAGTGTCTAAGATAAAGGAAATAACTGAAAAGTACAGAAAAAAATCTTGTGTCCCTTTTTTCTTTGTAGTGTGAGAGATTAAACTCAGGGCCTCATCCATGTTAGGCAAAGAAGACTACCACTGAGCTGTATTCCCAGAGAATCTCACCTTGTTTCTATGTCAAAAATAAAAGCAAGGGCTTGGGGATTTAGCTCAGTGGCAAAGTGCCTGCCTGGCAAGCACAAGGTCATGTGTTCAATCCCCCGTACCACTGAAAAAAATAAAAAAATAAAAACAACCATAAACTAGACATCCAAACAATCCAACTCCAGTTTATTTGAAAGAACTGAAAGCAGGATACACAAGTATTTGCAGATGCCTGCTCACAGCATTATTTATAATACTCAGAAGATGGAAGCAACCCATGTATCCTTTAACCCATGAAAAATGTGTAAATATACACAATATACTTAGCTTTAAAAAGGAGGAAAGTTGACACATGATACAACATAGATGAACTCTGAGGACCTTATGCTACATGAAATATGCCAGCTGCAAAAGGACAAATAATCTATGAGCCCACTTGTGTAAGGGACTTATAGTAATCATATACAAAGACAGTAATTATAAGACTACCGGAAGTGGGAAGAGCAAAAGGGGGAATTTTTGTTCAATCAGAGTATTAGTTTTATAAGATGAAAAGCTCTCGAGATTGGCTGCATAATCCTGTGAGCATACTTAACACTAATGAGCGATACCATACTATGTTTACGACAGTGTTATAATTTACCACAATTTACAACAAAAATAAACCAAAATAACCACAAGGTTTGAGCGCCATGTTATACTGGAAAAGAAGGAGTTTCACTGAGAAGTGTGGATGACAAGCAAGCTTCAAGTGTATTAATCAAGAACGAGCTCTGGGCAGCAGCACCCACCTGTACATTTATACAGCATGCCCGTCATGGTTCCAGCTGCCACTGTGTTCAGATCATCTTCTGCACCTCGTGTTTTCTCAATGATAACACCAAATGCACTATAGAGCAGAGCTAAAGGAGAAATGGAAGTGATCAGGAATAAAAGCATGACTGCAAGTCAAAGTAGCTATTATCTCTGATACGTTTATGCATAGTCAGATACAGAACAATCGCTGAACATTGTTCTAAACAGTAAATCCCCAGCAACTAGTAAGACGCGCATTAAGAGCATTTGCATTTGCATCCCCTGAACTGACACAGAAGGGAACTTTCCACATAGTGAAACAGTACACGGTGGTCATGTAAAACAAGAAGCAGGAAGAACTGCATCCACTAACGTGTAAAGCAGACGCACAGGCACACTCGCATGACCCTGACTGCCTACAGAGAGAAACACCTGCAGACTCCAGAAACAGCAAGAGTCGCTATTCCTGAAAAGCACTACTGGACAGTCCCAAGAATATTTTAAGTTTTCATTTATACATTACCTATAATAGCTATACTTTGGATTAAATATTCACATACTTCTATTAATAAGGGAAAACATTTAAAAGAATGTGAGATTTTAGTTTCATACGTGCAAAATCTGTAACTCTAGCACCATTTGATTTTACAAGATCTTTCCCTAAAACCACCCTTCTTTTGAGCCTTTACAGATTCCTATCAGGTCTGACTGCACTGAAACTTTTTCTTATCCTTTCTCAGAATTATCCTGCATTTGGTCCTCCAACAATCTTTCCCCAAGCTAGTCTCATAAGTAGTCTTCTAACGAATTATGAACATGTCCACACAAGGACATCTTTGTTGTTAATCTACTTTTAAAAAAAAAAATGACATGAGACTACTGTGACTGGTCACAGGACAGTGAGAACAGACAGGGTGACCAGCAGAGTGAGCAGCTCTCCAGTGAGCCCTGCATTGAGGGGTTTTCTGCAATGTGGGACCTACAGTGCTGAAATCAAGCAAGTCTCAGCAAGGGAAGGGTGTGGAAGCAGCTATATACCAGAACCCAAAGTGCAAATCTGACTACATGACACGCAAATACACTGCGTCCAAATCCCACACAGGCGAGGCTCTTACTATGTCATGACAGAGCTTCTCCTATCTTTTCAATGAGTCATCTACATTTTCTCTTACTCTGCCACAAGTACAATGATCATCAGCTGAGTTAATAAACTACTAAATCCCCTTTGTCAGAGCACGTATGTCATCGGTAATGAAAGCCTATCGTTCACAAATGATGTGATGAAAGCGCCTGGCTCTGACTCAGCACTGCCAAGTTGCCCCTTGCCGAGACTGCAAGCCTCTCTTATCTACCAAGGACCAACGACAACTCTGACCCGGGGCTCCTGGAAGTCACTTAGGTAAACAGACTGCCGGGTAGACTATTAGGGAAACACAGCAGAGGGACAGGACCAATGTGTCACAACTCACTCCAGGACCTTGAACCTTTCCTCACACAGACACACTTTGCCCTGGACCAAATTACGTAAATTCCCATGTAGTTAAAACATGATTTTATTTTACGTTCTCCTTAGACAGAGAGTTTGTGGTAGCCACACCATTTACTAGAGTAGATTTAAACACAATTGTTTCATATCCTAGAATCAAATTTTCATTGACTAAATTGCCCATGATACTTGCACGTCTTTTTTTTTTTAATCTTTTTGAGACAGCGTCTCCCTATGCCATTCAGGCTGGCCTTGAGCTCACTTTGTAGCCCAGGCCAGTCTTGAACTTGCAACAACCCTCCTGCCTCAGCCTCCTGAGTGCTAGGATTACAGGCATGAGTCACCATTCCCAGCTGCATGTCCTTTTTTTTTTTTTGCATTAATGATTTATTAGTAAATGAAATTTCTACTTACCCAGAGAACCTAGAGTATTGGCCCACAGTGCCCCTTGCCTAGTAACCATATTCAAAATCCTATCAGGGAAGAAAAAGAAAGAATCTGCATTTAGAATCATTATTTCAGTAGTAATTAAAAAAAATATAGTAGCTACTTAAAATGCCTACATTCATACCCTGAAGTTTTCTTATTTCAGGATATACCTTACTGCCTCCTGGGATTTCAAAAACTAGCTTTTACTCTATGTAGATAAGGGTTAAGTTAAAATTTTCAGCACTTTGAATATATACATATAACAGTTTTGGATCAGAATCTATTTTAGAAAGAAAATGATGTGAGAAACTGATATGTAAAAGATGTCACTGTGACTATGACAAACTGGCTTCATTTCTTTTGGGAAGAAGAGCATATACTCAGCCAACTAACTAGAATCAAAGTAGGGAATATAAAGCAGAACTGAAGAGACAGAAATAGCACTGTCTGCTCCCAGACTAGAGCCAAGCAGCCAACGTGAATGCTTAGCACACTCTCCAGGAAGCAGTGCGCCCTGCACCAGAGCCACGCGCACCAGAACAGCGACACGGGCCACCAGAGAAAGAAGGCACGGCAGTGCTCTCCCAGCAGTGTAACACCATCACGGCAACGGGGCTGCCAGACGGCTGACTGCTGCTGGAAACCGGGGACCTACAGTCACAAAGGCTTGACGAACTCATTAATTATTACAAGATTGAAATAACCTCCACTGTAACAAGTCTGTATTGCTTACACAGTGCTATTTTTAAAAATCAGCAATTTTTGCTGAGAAGTATTTCGCTTGTAACTATGTTACATATTTACTAACCAATCTGAAGTTCAGTACATTTTTTAAAAATCTGTAACAAGCTTTAAAACTACTAATTTCCATTACCGTATCACTGATGGGACATCGTCTGGAGTGCAATCTGGCAACACAAATGACATGTGACGAAAGCACGTGGCTCTGACCAAGCACTGCTAAGTCGCCCCTGCCTAGAACTGCAAATGCGTGTCTTACCTACAGAGGACCCACTGCAATCTAACAGTGAGGTCCCTGAAAGCCACTTGGGTAAACTGAGCCTTTAGCTATTTCCATTCTATCACCTCCCCACACCTCTGAGGGAAACATGAAAAGCTTCCTCCAAATCACCAAACAGCGGTCAGAAACTGGGCCTCTGAAGCCACATCTATCTGCCTGGCTACAAATCTTACCTCCCTTCCATTACAAACGCTACCTCCCCATCTACAAAGAGAGGATGATTATCTGTTTTAGGAAATGAAGCAAGTTATCCTTCCTAGGACACTTTCTGCTTCCAAATTCATATCCAATATAATGCTGGGATTTGTTTCAAAATAAATAGGAGAGGAAAAGGAAATAAAATGGCTGACACTTGCTGAAAAAGCGCTATGTTCACAGGTGTTTACTATAGTATTTTTGTTTATTTTCCATAAAATCAAAATTTTAATACAAGAAATAAAAATTACTGGACCAAAGAGGAAAATGTGAAGAATTACATAAAATACTGAAGGATCTGGGCTGGTAATACGATGATCCAAACAAGAAAACTTGATGGGCATTCAAGGATCCTAAGGTCTGACTTCAGTGCATCTGCTGCCCTCTGCTGGTGCAAGAATATTTGCAGGTAACGGAGTTCAAACAGCTCTAGATAGAACAAAACCAAGAACCCCAGAGGAACACACACTATGCAATCCCTCTTACAAAAAAAGAATTAAGATGTGTCAAACAAAATTGAAAAATAAAAAATGAAACCAATTATATCTTTTCTTGGAAAAACAGCAAATCTGAGCAACATACTGCTGAAGTAAGATCAACAAGGACTGGTAGTTTATTTCTCATGCAGAATGAAGACACAATTTCCCACCCATTGATAATCTTTTACTTTCTCCGTAGTCTTCCAGTTCATGAGACAGATTTTTCCGTCTAGAACTGACTCCCCTTGTTTTAGCAATTTTATTTAAAGTTTCTGTGGCTCTGTACTTTCAGAAGAAAAGAACAAAGTCACTAGGAAGTTCAAGTAAAGTAACAGACCTAGCCATCAATCTTATGAGTTGCTTATTTCATTATCAAATCCCCTAATTATATAACTTCTCAACAATCCAATTTTCCACACTAATTCACCAATTTAAAATGCATGTCACATGCCTGAAGAACTGTACATATGCAGCTGAGAAATTAGGATGGGACAGCACCAGGTAGCTGAGGGTCACTGACTTGAAAATGTAACTCTTTTAAAAGTCAACATTATACTAAATGGACAAAAACTGAAAGCTTTCACTCCAAAATCAGGAACTAGACAAGAATGTCCACTATCACCACTCCTATTCAATATAGTTCTGGAAAAACTTGCCAGGGCAATCAGACAAGAGAAAGAAATAAAAGGAATAAAGATAGGAAAGAAAGAAGTTAAATTATTACTATTTGCAGATGACATGATACTCTATAAAAGATTCAAAAAACTCCATTAAAAGACTACTAGAGATAATAAACATATGCAGCTGAAAAATTCAGCAGTGTAGCTGGATACAAAGTGAATACTCAAAAATCAATGGCATTGCTGTACACAAACAAAAAAATCCCCGAGAAAAAAATTATGGAAATACCACCTTTCACAATAGCATCTAAAAAAATGAAATACTTAGGCATCAACCCAACTAAGAATGTAAAGGACTTATATGCTGAAAATTATGCTACACTAAAAAAGGAGATTGAGGAGGGCATTAGAAAATGGAAGGACATTCCTTGCTCTTGGCTAGGAAGAACCAACATTGTGAAAATGGCCATACTCCCAAAACTGATATACAGATTTAATGCAATCCCAATCAAAATACCAATAACATACTTCACGGATCTCGAGAAAACAGTCCTAAAATTCATTTGGAAACCTAGACTAGCAACGGCAATTCTGGGCAACAAAGAAAAGGCAGGAAGCATCTCAATTCCTGACTTGAAACTATACTACAAAGCTACTGTGATAAAATCAGCATGGTACTGGCAAAGAAATAGAACCAGGGATCAATGGAACAGATTAGAAGGTGCAAACGCAACTACAAAGACACTCAGCACCTGTTATTTGACAAAGGGGCTAAACATGTTCATTGGAAAAAGGATAGGCTCTTTAATAAATGGTGTTGGAAAAATTGACTCTCCACATGGCCAAGATTGAAACTAGATCCATGCCTATCAGCATGCACAAAACTAAAGTCTAAACGGATCAAAGAACTTAAATATTAAAACAGAAACACGAAATCTCCTAGAAGATAAGGTAGGTATAAGTCTTGGAGACATAGGGATAGGCAGAGAACTCATGAACAAAAAGCAAACTGCATGGGAAACACTTCAAAGAAACAACAACTGGGATCTCATTAAAGTTTTTACACTTCAAAAGAAATTACCAACAAAATGAAAAGAAAACCCACAGAAAAGAGTTTTAGCCAGGAAACCCTCAGACAAAGGTCTTATATCCAGAAAATATAAAGAATTCCCCAAATTCAAAGACTCTCTCCAAAAATGGACATCTGAGATGAACATGTATTGCTAAGATGAAGATATACACAGGGCAAACAAATACATGAAGAAATGTTCACCATCACTGGTCATTCAAGAAATGCAAATTAAAACAGCATTGAGACTTTATCTCACTCTGGAAAGAATAGCTGACATCAAGAAATCAATTGATAACAAATGTTGGCAAGGCTGCGGGGGGAAAAGGAACACTTCTCCACTGTTGCTGGGAGTGTAGACTGTTGCAGCCACTATGGAAATCAGTATGGAGATTTCTCAGAAGACTAGGGTTCAAAGTTCCATTCAACCTAGCTATTCCTCTTCTGAGTATTTTTCCAGAAAAACTGAGAAGTTCATGTCACAATGACATATGTGCGCACATGTTCACAGCAGCACAATTTGTAATAGGTAAATCTTGGAAACAACCAAGATGCCCACCAACTGCAGAGTAGATGAAAGACGTGGTATTTTTAATAGAATAGAATATTACTCAGCTATAAAAAAGGATGATCTTGAGCCCTTTAAAGGTACATGGAGGCAACTTGAGAGACTATCCTCATAAGTGAAATAAATCAGAATCATATTTAGAAATATCACATTGTGTCACTAATTAGTAAGAACTGTAGGAGCAGTAATACCCAAAATGTGTAATTGCTATTGACAAAAGAGGGAAAGAAAGTGCTCTAAAGGATATGTATGTTTAAGTGTATAAGACAGATAATCATATTACTAAGTTTTTGTTAGACTGTTGAACAGAACTATTTGCACTCTCACTGTTTGAATGTCTCCTTTTTATGTTTTAATTTTGTAACTTGAACAACTATTTCCAAAATGACAATAGGTAATTTATCAACTAGTGATTTCTTAGTGTTTTTTTAAATTCTGTATTATTTTTACCCTTTTTTTTAAATAAAAAAAGTTAAAAGTCAGTACTCCAATTCCTTCGATTTCTTCATTACTTGTATTTAGCGTAACACACACACACACACACACACACACACACACACACACAAAGAGGAATAAAGAAAAGTATATAAAGTGTTAAGTTTCTAAGCACTTGTAACCTCAGGGTTATAGCAATCAAACTAACGAAGCAGAGGGTAGCATTTCAGCACGCATATGTCACATGATTACCCAACACTCACTGTACATTTCTTGGTTTGGACCAGGCCATGTTCTGGGTTTCCTTCAATCCTAGCCGAAGACCATTCACTGCCCCAAACGCAGCCCCTGGTGAATCACAACAATTCATACAAATATTATAGTTTGTATTAAAAAAACTAGACTTCTGACTCATTTTCATTATCAAAGAAAAATAAATGAAAACATTGATTTAAAAAACCCTGAAACCGATATTCTTATTGCTTTGATTTTGAAGCACGAACTACTTGGACTGAGGACACAAAAGATTATTAACCTCACCCGTCATGCAGCATCCTCCAATGGTGAAGAAGGCCAGCTCAAACCTGCCCCGGGTTTTATTAGCTCCAGTCGGTAAGATAAACTCATCAGTATCCTAAAGGGGTCATAATGAAAACCAAGATGAGTGTCCTTCAAGGCACATTATTGCAAATACTTTTTTAAAATTTCATAGTAGCTTTTCAAGAAAACCAAACCTTAAAGCAAATTCAACTATTTTACTCAAAAATAAAATGGCCTACAATAATACTTAAATGTAAAATTAAATCTATAACACATTTAGTTCTCCCTTCTCTGGGAAGATTCTCACCAACTCTTTGAAATGAGATAAACTGCACATTAGCTCCCTTCAAGAATTTGAAGCAATGACACAAAGGAGTTTAGAAAGGACAGCTCTGAAGAAAGGTAAACACAACACTATTACAATAATAGCTGGTAGACAACCCGTCTGGAAGCAGGAAACTGCTATTCTGCAGCAGGTCTTCACTGGGCACCCTCTTACTATGTGTGAGAACAGACTGGGTCAGTCAGGTAAGAGCAACTTACCCCCTTGGGGTACTTAGGCGTGCAATCCAAGACCTGGCACATGTCAGGCAGACACTTTACCACTGGGCTATACCCCAAATGCTCCACCTTAGTAACTTTTCATTGCCTGAGATATGTTCCTTGGAAAACATCAGAAAACTGCAAACACTCTTCTTAGTAAATACATGTACACAATTAACATGAACCAATAGAAAGGTAAAATGATACAGTTGCTTTTGGAAACAGTCTGGCAGTTTCCAAACTGCCAGAACCCAAAATCGTAGGTTAAGAAATGCTACCACTCTTAACAGTTAAAAATAATAAAATCTGAAAAGTCCATCATGCTAGTCACAAACCAAGTTGGTCAAGAACAAATCAAATTCAATGGTTAGGGGTTCAATGTTGACCTTTTGGGAATTCAGTTCTCACTGGGTTTGGTTTGCAATCAGAATCATGGAAAGAACTGAATTCAAGAAATAAGGTTTCACTGTATTTGACTAAAAAATTATCCTTCAACCCAGAAATGGACAAGAGAAAACTTCTTAGAAGATGGCTATGATGAACATTATCAGACATATTCACATCTGCACAACCAAGATCACAACCAACTTTAGGGCAACACCCCAAAAAGAATCTCACACCTGTTAGCAGTTACTCCCCATTTATTCCTACTTCTCAGTAGCTGCTAATCCATTTTCTCCATCTATACATTTCCCTATACCAGACATGCACATAAATAAAAGCACACCATATATGATCTTTTACAACTGGCTTCTTGCGTTTAGCAAATTGGCAAGGTTCATCCATGCTGAAGCATATATTACTAATTAATTAATTCTTTTTACTGCCAAATGACATTATATTGTATGAATACACATTTTATTTTTCCATCTATCAACCGATAGACATTTGGTTTCTCTCTGCTTTGGATTATTGTGATTTCACTGTGAAGAATCATGTACAAATTACTAAGCATGTTTTCAATTCTCCTGGATATTTAAGAGTAGCATCGCCTGGTCTTAACACAACCCTATTTTTAACATGCTGTGAAACTGCCAGACTGTTTCCAAAAGCAACTGTATCATTTTACCTTCCAGCCGGCAATGCATAAAGACCCAATTTCTCCATTTCTCTTACCAATATTTATTACTATCTTTGTGATTATAGTCATCCAGGTAAACAGAAAGTGGTGGTGCAGTTTTTGACTTCTCTAATTAATGACAATGAACAACTCTCATGTGATTACTAGATATTTTTATATCTTCGTGGAGAAATAGCTATTCAGATATGTTGCAACTGAAAGCTGGTTTATCTTTTTAGGAATTTTTTGAGACAGGGCATTGCGATGCAGTTCAAGCTGGGCCTGAACACTGTGCATTCCAGGCAGACTTCAAATTCCTGGCAATTCTCCTGGCTCAGGTCAGTGCTAGGATTGCAGGCAAGTGCTATCATCCCCAACAAGAATGCTTAAACATAAAATATTCTACAGAAAGTACCTTATCAGATTTACAAATATTTTCCCCAATCTCTGTGTTGTCCTTTATCTTTTTTGATGTTGACTTTACATTCCAAAATTAAATGTTTATTAAGTTTGATTTATCAACTTTTCATTACTCTAGCTTAGGGGTCACATCTAAGAAACTGTTTTCTTGTGCAGTCACAACTCTTTATGATTTTTTTTCTGAGTTCTACAGCTTTAGCCCTTGAAATCCTTGATCCAATTTGAGTTAATATCTACATATGGTATGAAGTAACTTCAGTGTTTTACATTAAATCGTCTCAGCATCATTTCTGAAAACACTATTTCCCCTACTTGCTAGCTTGGCAGCTTTGATAAAAACAAACTGATTGTAAACAATGTGAGGTTATTTTTTCACTTTGAATTTTATTTCACTGATCTAAAGATTAAATTTTTATGCTAATATCACGTCTTAAACACTGTAGCTTTGTACTATTTTAAAACTGACAAGTCCTCCAATTTGTTCATTTCCAAAATTGTTGATTATTCTAGAGTCCTTGAATTTTCATCTGAATTTTAGGGTCAGTGTGTCAATTTCTACAAAAAAAGAAAAAAAAAAAAAATCCAACCAACCAACAAAATCCAGCATGGATACTGAGACATAGCTTGACTCTGCAGGTCAACATCAGGAGTACTGTCTTATTAACAACTAAATTTCTCATAATCATGGAATATCTTTCCATTTACTTAGTCTCTGTTTCAATGTTCGGTACTTTTTAAAAGCGTAAGTTTTTGTTACTCTATTAATTGTATTCCTTTTGAAACTTATGGTAATAAAATTGTTTTTGTAATTTTATTTTTTAAGTTTACTGCTACTGTACAGAAACAACTAATTTATATACTTGGTCTTGCATTCTATAACTGCTGTAATAATTAGTTCTAATGTTTTTTGTATTGAATTGATTTATTTTAACAGGTTTTTTTGTGTGTGTGCTTTTCTTTGATTTTCTATAGTCACAACCAGATTGTTTCCATTTGCAAACAGACTGTTTTCCTTTCTTTTCCATCTGGATGCCATTTCATTCTCTTGTGAATAACCGTCCTGCTAGATGATGTTAAAACAGAATTTAATACGGGAGGAGATATACTTGTGTGATTCCTGATTGTAAAGTATTAAGCTTTTCACTATTAGGTAGTAGCTTTGGATATTGCGTAGCTACCAATTATTAGGCCAAAGCACTTTCCTTCTATTTCTAGTTTGAAAGTTTTCTAGAAGGGTGTCAGACACAATCACAAGCTTTTCTGTATCTGCTGTGGTAATATTTTGTGTATGCTATATTCTTTCTTTTGTTACCTTGTTAAATGTTAATATATCATAGTACTTTGATTTTCAATAAGTAACCTTGATTTTCTGAGATACTCAACCAGTAATCATTGAAACTGTCAGTTAGTGAGTACACTTTTGAAATTTAGTCCTATAAACTAAGCTTGAAAAGCAAATTTTATTTTTACTGTGATAGTTTTCACTAAGCCCTTGGTGATTTAAAAAACAACACACAAAAAACAACTTCTGAAGGGAGTTTAACAGTTGAAGACACAGCCAGTCCCTGGTCTTGTAAGAGGGCAAAAAAAGATGAATGGAGACTTAGTGATTCCAGAAGTTCAAGTCAGCGATAAGTATAGGGACTTTTCTTCTTTTCAGGGTAAAATAAAACTACTAATAAAATCTTAATCTTACCTGCACAAGATATCGTGGATCCACATTTAAATAAGGAGACAAAGGATTCATACCAGTTACTAGAGAAAAAAAACAAAATGTCATATTGCAACAAAATTCTTTAGTTATTTCACATCAAGGCAACTCAATTGTGATACATGCTTTCAACTGACTTACAGGTCCCCGAATGTGAAAAATTTTCTCCACTTTATCCTTCTTGTCAGTTTAGGGGATCCTTTCCCCTGGGGCCCCTCAGTCTCAAATCTCAAATCAGTCTTGCACTAGTGGCTTAAGTACTCATGCCAGTAAGGTATAGGCAGTAGGGATCAAACTAGCAGGAAGCAAGCCAGGCCATTTATAAAGCTAGCGTCTTTCACTTACTAAAAGAATGCCTTAATAATTATGTGAAGTACAAAATAGTAGATGAATCAATCAATCCCATGGGAAAAGGAGAGGTTGAATTTGGTTTCTAATTCTGAATAAATGCTCCAGGTCAGTTCCTTCAGACCTTAACGCTGACAGGGTTGATTTATTCTGACAAGATAGAGAACTGTTGGAGGTTAGTGCAAAAGAAAATGCAAAATTTCAGAAGGCCAGACCTGAAATCCACTAACTTTGAAAATAAGGAAGAAACAATCAAAGAAAGTAAATTTTCCCAAACTTTAAGTTTACCCTTTGGATCTTACGTATTTCAGTTATTGCTTACAAATCTATGCATTGACCATGACTTATCACTAGTTCTTTTTTTTTTTTTTTTTTTTTACCCTAAATTGTTATCTAACAACTCTGGTGTTAGCATCCTAGTCCAAGCACCAAATCTCATAGCAACGACTTTCTACCTAACTTGCCTCTCCAATTTACCTTCTGTGTAGCAACTAGAATCACTCTAGAAGAAAATAAGCCCTACTGGCTTCCCTCTGCACTTGTAATCAAACCCAAACCCTTTATCCTTGCCTACGAAAGCTGTCATTAGATGCCATTGCCAGCACCTCTGCTTTCATTATCTCCTACAACTTCATGGCAACACAAGACACACTGACTCAACGGTTCTTCAGATATGGCAAACTGAGACCCTTGGCTCTCAAACATTTGTACAATATTTCAGTCACAGATCAAATGTCAACTCTGATCCATTCTAAAAGAGCCTCCTCTTCCCACCGCCATCTCATGACCCTTTATCACTGATTATCCCCAATGTTTTTTTACCTTATTTGGCTTGTCAGTACCATGTATACTTCACACCAGAACTGTACTTTTTTTTAAACCACTGCATCAGAAAATTAGTTGACACATTGTAGCAGCTCAACAAACAGTATTCTTCTCTGGTCCCTTTTAATTTACCTTCCAGTCTTAAACTAATGCAACAGTATCCTGTTACATTAAAATAGTGCCCCTTGTGACATGGAACTCTTAAGTCTTAAGAGGTATACAAATTGTTTTCTATGCTGGGTTTTGTCATACGTGAAGATTAGAGATATAAAAAATAAAGAGGCTTCCTTTCAGTTACTGAATATAAAAGAAGAAAATATCACCGGGGATACAGCTCAGCAGCACAAGTGCTTGCCTAGCAAGCGTGAGGTCCCGAGTTCAATCCCCGGTACCAAAAAAAAAAAAAAAAAAGGACCATTTTTAAAGGCTTATCCACCACCAACTTTGTACCATCTTTAGATCCAAATTCCTTTTATCTTGTTGGATATCCACAGTCAAGTAGAAACATCCATAATGTTGAGCAAGCTATTCTTGTCTCTCATGTGTCTGTGCTCTCCATCTTGCCCCGCTGCCCCGTAATTCTTACGCGCTTTTTTTTCCTCACGTCTACAAACCACTTTAAAGTTTATGACACTTTCCAGCTCCCGCCAAATGGTTTCTTGGCTTGTTCCAACTCCTGTTTCGCATCTATTCTCATCATTACGGAGTGACTCGCCCCAGGAGCTGCACTGGAATTCAAAATATCTATCTTTGTGCTTGCTATCTGCAATACTTTTACTTCTAGAACTGCGCTGGTCTTAATCCAGGGTCAAGCACATTGCCCAACTCACAGGAACAAATGAAAACCCGCATCACCTTCTGGCCCAGGTCAATCACAGTATCTAGGGATCTGTGACCCCACCATGCTCCCTTAACCTTCAAAGAGGCCGTGCTGACACATTAACCTCACCACTTAGTGCTAACGCTCGGGAAAGCCAGGAAGAAAAACAGTAAGACGCCGCACGTGCGGTGCTGTCGCAGGCAACCCGGAGAGACGCTCGCACCTGAGGCCCGATACTTACGCGGGACGCCGGCCAAATCTGCATGCGAGTAACCAGCTCCGCCGGCTCCAAAAAAGCCGGCCAAACCTCCTGTGGTTTTGTTGCCACTGCCCCCACCGCCCTCCATGGTGTCCGCTTCCCGCCGCCGCCCCAAGCCGAGGTACAGAGCTCGGCAGTTGCTCCACGGCAGCAGCGGGGATTCCCTCGTAACCACTGGCTCCTTCACACGCTGACCTTCCGGGCGCCGGTGGCCGTGAAGCGCGGCACTTCCTTTTTGCGACGGCGTGCGCCCGGAAGTCGGAGCGCCTGACGGCAGCGTTCCGCTGGTGGGAAAGTGAAGGAATGCCTTAATTGAAGCGGCGAGTTCGGAGGCAGGTCGGCTGTTTGCGGAAGAGAAAGGCTAGCGACGTCTCAGGGTCTGACTCGGAGCCTGGCGAATCAGTGACTGCGGAGCAGGCAGCGGCAGAGAGGAAATGGTGCGGGAACGCGCCGAGCAGGAGGCGCAGTCCGTGGCACTAGGTGAATGAGGCGCTCCGCCCGGGCCGGCCCGGGGTCCGTGAGCTGCGGGTCCCAGCATGAGTGCGGGCCCCGGCTGTGAGCCCTGCACCAAACGACCCCGTTGGGGCACCACTGCAGCTGCGCCGGCGGCCTCGGACTCCCGGAGCTTCCCCGGCAGGCAGAGGTGCGTCCTCGACCCCAAGGACGCTCCGGTGCAGGTCAGAGTCCCGCCGTCCTCGCCAGGCTTCGTTCCGGGGCGGGCGGGGCCGCACCGAGGCTGCGCCACTTCTCTTGGTACGTGGGGAACTAAGAACCCTTGCCCTTCGTCTTGGTCCCGAGGACCCCGGGGTCGCAGTTATTCCTGTCTGTCCTCTGATCCACCCCCCTCTCAGGTCCCCTTGCCGAACCACCAGGGCCACACTGAAGGGACCTTGTTTTGCCCGATGCGACTGGAGAAGTGAGAAACATTTATTCTCAGGGTTTTTGGAAAGTAGCAGGGAACTCCACCTGTTTACTTTCCCCGAATTTGATGAAGTGCCTTCGTCACGGAGATCTGCTGGTGTATGTGAAGCAGTAGGGCACTGCAGCCAGCCTCGAAGGCAGGGGGAAAAAGCTGTTGAAGCTAGAGTTGGGGTCCCAGAGTGCCGAGATATGAGTCCTAGGTAACATTGAACTTGTCCCTGGCTTCCGTTGTTGACCATGAGGAGCTCAGTCTGTGTCTTTATACCCTAAAGTGCGTCAGGGGACATCGACAAAATCACAAGGCAATACATACAATAGAGGGTAGTGGATACCTTGATAGGAGAGGGACAGACTGTCTAGGTAGACCTGACCCAATTCGTGGGAGCAAAGGTAGTCCTCCCTAAGACACGGTACTTATTCGGAGGACCAAGGGATGGATAAGAGTCACCCGGCTGTAGAGGAAGTAAGGTGTTTGAGAAGGACAGCTGGTCATAGAGTAAACAGAATAGTGAAGCAGGCCACAGATGCAGAGAAAAATCAGCCCATCCCGTGATGGGATATATAGGTAGTGCTAAGCACGTTGGGCTTCTAAGAGCAAAAAGAAGCCATTAAACACTTTCAGTGGGTGAGGATCTGCGGGGGAAGGTTGGTTTGTTGAAAAGTCTCCATGGTTGGTGTGCGAAAGGTAAAAAAGGAATTGAAAGCAAGTGAAGGCCCACTACTAGTTAAGGACTTGATCTGGGTGGAAGATAATGGCTTAGCTTTGAGTGTGAAAACAGAAGAAGTGGGTAGGTTCCTGAGACATTGGGTCATACTGGAACTTAAGGGCAAAAATTCATCTGTGCCAGAGGAATTGGGGAGTTGTTGGTGTAAACATAATAGAGGGAACTATTATGTTTGTGTGATCTAGACCATTTAAGTGTCTTAAGAAAAAGTTACAGAGGGCAGAAAGCTTAGGAAAATCATTTAAATTTAGATAGACTTAAAGAAAAAAAATCTAAGGCAAGTTGAAAGGGCCCTTTAGAAATGTATCCATTCTCTGGTCAACAGTGTAGTTTTAGGTGTCTTAGGACTTAGAGGCTGTGGCCAACAGACTTGAACTATGTCTTGACAAATGAGCAGGATTTGCTGTATAAATGGGGAGAGAGAATTATGTCAGTAGAGGGTATAGCACACCAGGAAGTTGGTAGATGGCAGGATGGTAAGGTGGTCTTACTTGTGGAAAAACTCCAGGGCCATATTATAGTAGTTAAACTTCATTATTCGGGGGTAGGGGGGATACTGCAAAAAAGCTCTTAAACAAGGGAATGCAATTTGCTTAACATTAGAAATGACTGAAGCAGTAGCTTTTGAACATCTTTTTGTCAGTAAACCCACATTATAAATTTTCTCTGGTATATGGTGTAGTATGTGTACATATACCATATTTATGACTGAAGCAAATATTTCATGGAATGTTTACCCTTACTATGTACAACACATTCTCATATTGCCTGTATTAGTGCATTGAAAAAATACCAGCTGTTTGTAGTTTGTGAAACACTGAGTTAGAGAAAGTCAAGACTAAACAGGAAGAACAGAAGCAGGAAACAATTTGTTATAAGTAAGTGAAATACTTAAGGAATGTAAGAAAGGGATGGACTTAAACTTCAGGATGTGGATTTTGGGAAATTTGGCTTAATAGAGCAGGAACTGATGGTGAGCGATAGGTAATGTATCTGACATCCCTGACTAGGTAATTTGTAACCCATTAACTTTATTTTGCTGGCGAGGGTTAGTGCAGTCCTCCGCACTGGTTGGTCTTGAATTTTCTGCGGAACAGGAACTAAATGAGTACTTCATGTGTGTGATGTTTCCTGTGTACCTGCCACAGGACACCATTTACATAATGTCCAAAGTCCAAATTGTTTCAAGTTTTAGAATTCTTTTAGGAACTTGGTATTTAAAATTTTTAAGTAATTATCTCAGAAGAAGTAAATGGAAAATAAGTAGTGTCTTAAGTTTTGTATTGTCTTCCTGGGCACATGTTTTACAATGACTAAAATCTGCATGTAGGCAGAGCACAGGATGCTGTTCCCATTCTGATGGGGCTGTTGCTATAGCAACTTTGTGTAAGTGGAGTGTTCTTCTAAAATGCAGTTGAATTTTACTGTATTGTGCACCTTTTGCCTGTATCTCTGCTAACTGAAAGGCCTCATTGAAATATACTGATTACTGATTGATGACTCAAAGTGTGAATGGTGTGAAGTCAAAATAAAGTTGGAGAACTACTGATTTCAGTGAAAAAAGATCACAGTGCTGAAAGAGGGTATTTGTGGTGTGCCTGCTTTTTGAGGCTGGGTACTTAATATTTTCTCTCAAGTTTATATCCTTACCGGATGCGTATGGCCCTTGGCAGCACGTGTTGTTAACCCCATTTTCTAAGTGAAGAAACAAGAGCTCACAGAAGTGAAGTAACTTGACGGAGGTGCTGCTGGTGACTAAGCAAACATCCCACGTCAGGGCTGTTTGAATACATCATGTGGCCTTTTCATTGTTTCTTATTACCACCCTTTGCTGTCATTATTTCTCATTAAGAAATCCCTTAGAAACCTAGAAAGCATCATTTTATGTCTGCTACAGGAATAAGAGGGCTAAAGCCCCGCACCAGCCCTGTGATGTGTTGGAAAGAGAAGGAGGGCAGTCCTTTCTCTGGGCCCACCAAGGACCACAGGAATGTTTGATTCACAGGAAACATTGGATCCTTCTGTTTCACCTTTCCTCTTCCAACTGTTCTCAGCCTTCATGGATCATAATCAGCAGCCTGCAGCCCAATGGTGAACATGTTCTTCCTATTAGGGCTGCAGGAAAAAGCCTTCTTCACAGGGCACACTTCATGGGTGTCAGGTGCTAGGGACTGGGCTTTGAAGAGCTGTGCTTGGTGAGTGGTAGAGAAACCTAACCATTACATCCTGACCTTTAGTCCTTGTGGGAAAAGATGTTTTAAGTCTAAACTGACTCAGAAAGTAAATGAGTGTTTGAGCACCTCACTGGTGTGGGGTTTGGGAATTTTTTGGGTTAGATTAGCTGTGTTTCATACAGGCTGAGTGTCCCTTACCTAAAATGCTTGGAACTCAGATTTCAGATTTTGGATTATTTGCATAGACTTGACTTCTTGGGCATCTCTAATTCAGAATGTGAAATGCTCTAAAATCAGTGCCAGTGCTCAAAAAGTTTTGTATTTCAGAGCATTTTCGATTTTCAGCTCATAGATCCTCATCCTGTAGAATGAAATTAAATGAGAAAAGCTGAATTATAGAAAAAGTGTCAGAATCAGCTGTTTTTTCCTCTTAGTTATTGCTGATCATACATAGTTTTTCATTGAAGCCTGATTCGCTATAGAGATACAAATTAAGTTCCTAAATTAGTGGTGCTTACCAGTGAGAAGTGTCAGCTTTATATAATTCTTGTGATTGAAACAATTTAGAGAATACCAAGCAAAGATTTTTGTAGTTGGACTGTTGGTGTTCTATGGAAAGTATGTTATACGGCACTTGAATACTTCTGTAGAAAGTACAAATTTTATGACACCTGAAAAGCATATTTAAATATAAAATTCTTTCCAAACCTAAAATGTTTTCACTTGGGCCATTATCTGTAATGGATAAACTGTTAATGTCATGATTTGAGTCTGCAGTTGGGGTACTTACATTATGCTATTTGAGGTAAGAATGAGTCTGACTTAAGGTGCTTTTTGTTATCTCAAACTTTGTATGTGCAAAATTGACCTAATCATATTTGTGGTTTTTTTTTTTTTTTGTTTTGTTTTTTTGTCTTTGGCTTTTCGGTTTAGTTGATTATGAAAACCACTTCTTGCAATAAGTATGGATTTCCACCTACCTTGTGTTCACTCTTTATGGATTCCGATTTGGAGGGTCTGGGTGTTGTCCTGGGAGCCATATATTGCTGGCCTCCTGATGACCCAGGTGTTTTGGGACTAGTAACCTTCTCATTGGCCTCTGCCTTAGGCTTTGTCTCCTTGCCTGCATATTTGTCCTCCAGGCCACCTGTCAGCCATGGTGAGCTTGTGAGCTTTCTGGATTTGAATTCTGGCATCATGGCTCTTCCTGTGAATTGTACCTGTTTGTGGCTCATTCAAGGTCTTCCGTGATATGGTCCTGGCTGACTTTTCAACTATATTTCCAGTTGCTTCTTTCAGAGTTCTTTGTATTTCTGTACCATTGGTGCTTTTGTTCATCATTTTTCCTGTATATGACCACATTTGTTCTTTACAGTACAATTTATTTTAAGCCCTACAGTTTTCAAGCAATCTTACCAAGAATCCCTACTTACTCTTATGTCCTAAAATAGTGTTTTTCTTGAAAATACCTGAGTTTTTTGTTGGCCTCTCTTTTAATAATAAAAATAATTCAGGACTAACATTTATAGTGTCAAGCATTTCTTGGATAGAGTTCTAAATATTTTACATAGATCATTGTTAGTTTAGTCTAACCCTAATATAAGAGATTCTGCAGATTTGTGTGTATTCAGATATGCAATCTAAACAAATAAAAATGATTCTTCTCAGAGTCACATAAGAAGCTATGAATTTAGCCCAGAGTTATAAAACACACGTGTAGTCCCAGCACTCTGGAGGCTGAGGCAGGAGGATCATTGCAAGTTCCAGCCATCCTGGCCTGAACTATATAGCGAGACCCTAATTTAAAAAAAGAAAGAAAAGAAAAAACTATGGACTTAAATCTAGATGTTTTGATTGTTCTGATTCCATTCATGTTAGTATTTTTGTTCCGGGCTTCTCTCAGTACTTGAAGGTAAAGAGAGAAATTAATCCACACAGAACTTTATAAAATGCCTCATATATAACTACTATGTATTTTTTCTAATTGAAGGACTGAATGTTATATGTATACATTAATTTTTTATTTTTTACAGTTTTCAAGCAAAAGACTATTACCAGTTGGATGGATACTAAGGAAATCAAGACAGCTAAATCAGAAAGGTATAAAGACATGCGTATAGAAAGAAGCAACGTATAAGGATTGCTTTATCTTGCTTTGGGATATTTTCTCTATTTCTTCTTGCTTTTTTATTTTTCTTCGTCGACATTTGTTCATTTTTAATTCAAAGTTTTTTAGAATCTGTATGCACAGAGATGAAAGAGAAATAGCACAGGCTTTAAGCTACTTGCAGTGTAATAGTGCTTAAACACACAAAGACATGATTTCTTGCTGGTGCGGTACATTAGCTAGAAAGGAATTAGGTAGTAAAGTCTGACTGTGGTCAGCAAGTAGAATGGAAAAGTGAACTCCAGGAAAGACTATCAGGAAGTGTGTAGAGTTCAGAGTTAAAGGGAAGGCAGGTGGTTTCCAGGCACAGCTGGGGAAGGTCATGTGCAGAAACAGAGGGAGGAAAGAGCGTGCTGTGTGTTCAGGTAACAAGCAGTATAATTATTGCTGTGATACTTGTGGAGGTGTCATCCATTAAGTGGCATTTCATATAAGTGGGTCTTAGTTCTTTCTGTTCTCTTGCAGTTTGCATAGTAAAGAAAACAATAATACAAGAATAGAATCCATGATGAGTTCTGTACAGAAAGATAACTTTTACCAACATAACGTGGAAAAATTAGAAAGTGTTTCTCAACTAAGTCTTGATAAATCACCTGTTGATAAAAGGACACAATATTTGAACCAGCATCAGACTACAGTGATGTGTAAGTGGCAGAAAGAAGGGAAAAATACAGAACAGCTTTTGGAAAGTGAGCCTGCAGCAGTGACTCTGGTGCCGGCGCAGTTCAGTAATGCTAACGTTGAGCAGTCCCCTCACACTGATGGCCACAGTGATACAGACAGTGAAGAAAGCAGAGATAATCAACAGTTCCTGACACCCCCAAGGCTTGCGAATGCAAAACAGACAACAGATGAGCAGGTCAGAGAAGCCAGAAGCCACCCGAAGGGCTGCACATCCTGTTACCCTGGGAATGACCGCACAGCTTGTCAACAGGAGGAGACAGACGTGGTACCAGAGAGTCCGTTGTCAGATGTCGGCTCTGAAGATGTTGGAACCGAACTGAAAAATGACAAATTGAATAGACAAGAAAGTAGCCTAGGAAATTCTCCCCTTGAGAAGGAAAGTGAACCCGAGTCACCAATGGATGTAGATAATTCCAAAAATAGTTGTCAAGATTCAGAAGCAGATGAAGAGACGAGTCCAGGTTTTGACGAACAAGAAGATGGTAATTCCTCCCAAGTAGCCAGCAAACCTTCGAAGTTGCAAACAAAAGAAGCTAACAGTGAACTTAAAAAACCACACTCTGCTAAAGGAGGCGAAATTAAATTACACTTTCAATTTGAAGGAGGGGAGAGTGGCACTGGGGTGAGTGACCTAAGTGCCAGACCCTCTGGAAACACTTCTGCGCTTCATGTAGAATGCCGGAATTCCAAGCAGCATGGGAAGAGGGACTCCAAGATCACTGACCACTTCATGAGAATGCCTAAAGCAGAGGAAAGAAGGTAATCTTGTCTCATCCAGAGTGTCTCTTCACGAGCGTATTACATTTCAAAATTTAACACAGGAGGCTTAACAAAGTTACGAGTTAGAGTAAAATAAATTGGCTTCTTATTTACTTAGCCTAAATTTAAGCCTTTACACCAAAGCTTAAATTCTCAAAAGTAGTGAAACACAAGAGAAGGATAATGAATATCAGATCTGCCTACTGGTTGACCATTTCCTAAACGAGTGCATATTACAATTTCTGTAACTTTAACAGGGAGATCTGTAGTATTGTACTCATAAGTGAGAAACTGAAGTTTGAATTAGAAAAGTCATTAAAATCACGGAACTTGTCTGAAAGTACTGGGGTTTCATGCAATATATATCTGACAGCAAAACTTATATCTTTGCCACTAGCCCACATAGAATCTTAACGCCCACTTGGTAATCTCTATGACCTCATTTTTCTAGCATATGGCCCTAAATTCATTTCACTGAAAATTACAGTGCTGCAGCCTGAGAAGTAGGTAATACTATGAACCGCAGTGTGTTAGTCACCTTCTTATTGCTATGACAAAGTTCCTGACCCCTATAGCATAAAGGAGAAGTTTATTTTGGCTCAGGTTTCAGAAGTTTCAGTCTATGTGTGGCAGGCTCAAATGCAGAAGATGGCAAAATGCAAGAGCCTGCTTCCGTCATGGTGGCTGGGAGCAGAGGGGTGGAGCTGGGAGCAGATACACTCTCTGGTCATACCCCAGTGGTCCCAACTCGGAAGAGCAAGGCAGCTGTAGCTCACCTTCCAAAGGTCACCTTCCAAAAGCTGCCCCCTCCTCACTGCTCTCCAGGGTGTGAGGCTCTTAGGGGACATCTAGATACAGATCACGACCTGCAGCTCGTTTCTGTTTTCAGGAGGTGATTTACATGGAAATTCCCTTCACAGACTATTGAAAATGAGCTCTTGAGTTGTAATATAAACTTTATAAAGGTTTCCAGTTGGTTGTAAATATAAAAGAGAGGTGAGGGAGCAAGCTTGGCACACTTCAATCAGGAACATTCTGGTAAGTTTTGTACTTGTGTGTCCAAGGGATCTGAAGCAATAGATTGGTGACTGAATACATTTGTCTTGACCTTAGAAAAGAACAAGGTGAAAACAGACATCAAAGAACAGAAAGGAAGATGCCTAAATACGTTCCACCTCACCTTTCTTCAGATAAGAAGTGGCTGGGAACTCCTCTTGAGGAGCTGCGGAGGGTGCCTCCGTGTGGGAGCCAGCTGCCTCTCTTGAGACCGTCGGCCAGTCACACAGTGACTGTTCGGGTGGGTATCACCTCTTGTCTAGGAGCAGGGAGGATTAAAGATCTTGATTTACTGTATTTATTAATATGAAAAGCAGACCAAGGCGTAGCAGGTTTTCTTGTCTGCTTGTATATAGTACTCAGAAGTGTGCACCACAGAGCGATAAACCATTGCTTACTTAACGTGGCCCTTAACACATCTAGGTGAATCATTGTCAGCTAATGATGAAATTAAGTTGTTCAGTGTTTTTAAGGAACCTCATTGGGTTCTTTTTTTCCCCTTTTAATTCATTTGACAAACTGGCATGGTAGTACGCGTCTAATCCCAGCACTTTGGGAGGCTGCCACAGATAGATCACAAGTTCAAGCCCAGCTTGGACAACTTACTGACTTGGCGAGACCCCATCTAGAACTTTAAAAGTAGGAAAGGGGGTATAAAATGAAAGGACTCTGGGTCTAATCCCCAGTACCACAATTTAAAAAAAAATTCAGTTGACAGTGTTTAATGAGAACACAGTGCTTGTAAGCTGCTAGGTTAGTCACGTAAGACTCAAAACTCTGTATGGTTCAATACATTTTCCAGGTTTGCATAATTTTCTGAGGTTCAGGTTCTTCTGTTCATCTGTATTATCTCACAAGTATCTCAAACTCAATCTGTCTTTCGTTTTTTTGTTTGTTTGTTCATTTGTTTTTGAGACACAGTATATAGTCTAGGCTGGCTTGTACTCACAGCTGTCCTCCTGTCTCAGCCTCCCCAGTGCTGGGCTAATAGGCATGCACCACCACACCTGGCTAAGCCCAACATGTCTTAAACCTGTCTTGCATTTAAAAATTTGTTGTTAAATATATGCAGCATAAAATTCACAATGTTTTTAAGCATGCAGTTCAGCAACATTAAGTACCATCATGATGTTGTACAGTGATCACCCACTGTCATTTTCAAAACATTTTTATCTTTCCAAACTCTATCTCTTAGGCAATAGCACCTTAGACTTTGCACCACCACCACCACCCCATCCCCGCCAACTCCTGGCTAATACTTTCATATGCAGTCATGTTTTTCTTTAAACAAATTTTACTGCAGTATATAAAATTTATTGTGTGCTCAGTTTGGTAATATTTAAGAACTATATAATCGTTAACAGAGCCCAGCTTGAAAGTTTCTGTCACTCACTGAGCAGGTTTTAATATTCATCTCATTTGCAATCTCTAGATTGCACTAAGACTACTTTAAAAAATTAAGTTATGCCTTTTATAGTACAGATTAGTTTAGGTATGATCAAATATCCTGAATGTTAGAATTCTTTCATTTTTTAGAACAGCTTTCCTATGCACAGTGATAACATTCATCCCAGGAAATTTGTACCTCTGTATCATGTATCTTAATTCTTTCCTCCTGTTCTCCTCTCCTTTTAACCCTTCATCCCCTCCCCATTCCCAAATCTTGGTTTAGATTTTTTTCCTTCCATTCTCTTTTTATTTTAATCCCTTTTCCATTCTTTCCCTTCCTTTTCTCCTTCTCTTGTTTCTCCTCTCATTTGAACACATTCTTCCTACTTTCCAGTATGTGTTTTGCTCCATATTTATCCTTTGGGTTTCTCTCACAAGTGAAACAATGCAATATTTACACTTGTGTGTCTGATTTATTTCACTTAAAATTGTAGTCTTGAGTTGCATTCATTTACCTAAAAATGTCTCAAGTTTATCTTTTTGGCAGAGTAGTACTCCACTGCATATAAATACCACATTTTCTTTATCCACTGATGGGTATATGGCTTATTTCCAAGATTTAGCTGTTGTAAATTGTGCTGCTGTACACATGGGAATGCATGTATCACTGTGGTACAATGCTTTCAACTGTTCCAGGAAGATACATAGAAAGGCAGGAGCTGGATCAAATGGCACCTTTAGGAAGCTCCACACTGATTTCCGCAGTAGTTGTGCTAGTGTATATTCCCACCGACATGGAGAAGGGTTCCTCTTCCCCACAGCCTCGCCAGCCTTGACTGGTTGATTTTGTGACGATCGCAGTTTTTTCTGGAGTGAAATGGAATCTCAGTGTTTTAATTTCCATTTAACAAATGACTAGTAATATTGAACATTTTTTCTCATACTATTTACTGTTTATATTTCATCTGAGAAGTGTCTATTCATTTCAGATGCCCATTTTTAGATTGAGTCTCTAAATTGGGAAGGTCTGATTTTTTTGAGTTCTTTGTGTATTCTGGATACATCTAGTCCTTCATCTGAGGAACAGGTGGTAAAAATTGTTTCCCACTCGGAACTCTCCCTTCACTCTTGGTGTCTTTTGCTTTGCAAAAGCTTTTTAGTTTGATGTGATGGCAGTTGTTGATCTTTTTGTAGCATTTCCTGTGTGATGAGGATTTTTTTGTAAAGTCTTTGCCTACAGCTGTGTCTTCAAGGGTTCCTCCCGTTCTATCTTAGGGCAAATTCTAAGTGTTTCTGTTTCAATATTTAAATTTTGGATCCATTTCAGTTTTAATTTAGCGCATGATAAGAGAGATGGATCTAGTTTTAGTCTTTGGCATGTGGAAAGCCCGTTTTACCTGCACCTTTTATTAAATAGGCCGTCGTCTTCCAGGGAAGATGTCTTACCCCCTTGTCAATGATACAGTAGCTGAGTGTGCCCAGAGTTATTTGTGCATCTTCTAATCTGTTCCATTGAGCCTCAAGTCTGGTTGTTTTTGTTTTGTTTTGTTTTTTGCCAATACCATGCTATTTTTATAGTATAACTTCAAATCAGGGAATGTGATGCCCCTGCCTTGTCCTTGTTGCCCAGAATTGCTTTTGCTATTCTAGGTCTCTTCTGACTCTCATCTGAGTTTTAGGATTATTTTCTCTAGTTCTGTGAAGTAGGCCCTTGTTATTTTGATCAGGCTTGCTTTAAATCTGTTTAGCAGGTTTGGGTGTATGGCGTTTGCAGCTTATTGGTTCTGCCTATCTGAGAACAAGAGTAATTGGTCCATTTTCTGGTATCTTCTTCAATCTGTTTTCAGAGTACTGTGCTTTTCAGTGTAAAGATCTTTCACTTCCCTTGTTAGATTGATTCTTAAGTCTGTCTGTCTGTCAGTCTTTTTCTTTTTCTTTCTTTCTTTCTTTCTTTCTTTCTTTCTTTCTTTCTGTTTTTTGATGTTATTGTGAAAGGTATTATTTCCCCTAATTTCTTTCTCAGTGAATTAGTATACATGAATTCTATTGATTGAGTGTTGACTTTGTATCCTGCTATGCTGCTGAATTAGGTTATTAAATTTAGGAGCTGTGGGGGTCTTCTCTGTAGAGTATCATGTCATATCAAATACTAATTTAACTTCTTCCTTTCCTATCTGTTTTTTCTTTTTCTTGTCTAATTGCTCTAACTAATGTTTCCCAAACTATATTAAACAGGAGATAGTGGGCATCCTTGTCTTGTTCCTGATTTTAGATTGACAGCTTTTAGTTTTTGAGCCTTTAGTATGTTATTTCAGAGTTGTATATAACATATTTCATAATGATGTTGACCAGTGTTGTGTTGTTTGAACTGGACTCTAAAAGGTAAGTGTAAGTTTTAAGACTCAGGGCCTGGGGTTAGCTCAGTGGCATCAGTGCTTGCTTAGTAAGCACAAGGTCATGAGTTTGATCCTTGTTATCAAAAAACAAGTTTAAGACTCAGGAATACGACAAGAGAATTTAAGGTAGATACATAAGCTTGAAAGAAAAAAGTAGCTAGAAATGGTTTGTTTCAGAAATAAAAAACAGTTGGTTTTCTATAGCTTAGAATATAGGCAGGGAATAGTGGAAGACAAGACTCGATACGTGGGTTAGGTCCACATCAACAGAGGCTCGCTCTTGGCCCTCACTGTTTCACAGGATAGTGTCCTCCCATGTAAAAGCACCCCTTTAAGCTGGGCACGGTGGCATGCACCAGTAGTCCCACCTGCTTGAGAGACTCAGGCTGGAGAATTGCTTGAGGGCAAGAGTTCAAGTCCAGTCTGGCAGACACAGTAAGAGGCCCATCTCACCATCCCTGCGGGGAGTTCACTTCTGGCGCCTCTGACTTCCTGGAGTCTCCACTTGTGACTCTGACTTCACGCTCAGTGTCGCACATTGATGGTAAAGAGAAGCTTGCGGGGACTTTGACCCTGCTACCTAGTGTTTTGGCTCCCAGGCTTTCCTTTGAAATTACGGCGGAAGCCTCTGTGACCTCTTCACTGTTTGAACAGTGGCAGCAGTATGTGAGTGACTTAGTGACTTAACACTAAGAAGGGAATCCAGGGAAATAATTCCCTAAGTGAGAGGAGGGTACCCTGGAGCTCTCATTTCAGAAGACAGTGTATGCTCTAAAAAGTCCTTGAAACAAATTGCCTCTAATTTTGCACCACTGATCCTGTGATATGTGAGGCCTTCAATGGGCAAAGTCTTGCCAATCCTTGAGAAGCCCACGAGGCATCTTTCCTGTTGTCCAGATCCAAAGTGCTGGCTTGTTTTACTGCTGCTGGTCTCTTGGGTAACTGCACCCTCCGTGGCCATACCTGCACCCCCACACTGCAAGGTTTTCACATTTCTACTCCACCTTGCTCTCAGCTATCATTGTAAATCTGGCTGAAAGCACCCCCCAGTAAGCATGGCACTGCCCGAATGCCATGCTGCTGTGAAATTTCCTCCGTGAGGTAATCTAGTCCATCACCTTGAGTCTCAGCCTCACAGAGTCTCAGAGACTGAGAAAAAGTGTACATCTGTCCTTTGTCAGCATGTAGCAGGGTGGCCTCTGGCCCGTTCTCTGCAGTGTCCTTGTTCCCGTCTATACTTCTCTCAGCACAGCCCTGCTGTCCCTTTTCCTGTCAGCCTTGCGGTCTGCATCCCCACCAGAGTCGCCCTGAGGCTGCAGACACCCTAAAGCCGCGTTTCCACCTTCTTCCCGACTCCTTCTGTGAACCAGTTCCAAAGGCTTGAACCACATCGTCCTGTATAAAGCAGCAGCGACTCTACTTGTTACCGTATTTTCTTTCATTTAGCCGTCACTGTGACACAGTAACGGAGATAATCAGTTTCCCTGGAGGGACATTTATCTTAACGCTTGGTTTCAGAGGTTTTATTCTAGGTTGCTTGGCCCATTGCTGTGGCTCTGTGGCAGCACCATGTATCACGGCAGAAGCACGTGATCGAGGCGGGCCTTTGGACCTCATAACGGCCCTGAAACAGGAGAGGAAGAGTCGGAGCCCTAGCATCCCATTCAAGGGCACACCCCGCGACCTCGGCCCTTCTCCTTCTCCCTGTGGGTTTCACGGCCTCCCATCGCACCTGAGGGAGGTCAAGCCTCTGGGGATACAGTGCCCAGATTCATCACAGCAGTGAGAATCTTCTTTCTTACTTTCCCTAGTTTGCTTATTTTGACCCTTTAGAGCTCGGCACGGCTGTTGCTTTCTCAAGGAAGCCTTCTCTAACTCACTAGCTACGTTGTCTGTCTAGAATAGATTTTTAAAACGCCGTGAACTTATCGTTTATAGCTTACTGCAATTTTTGTATTCATGTGGCTATTTGATTCCTTGCAGTGAAATGCAGTGTCTGCTACCTGATGGATAAACCTCAGACATCTGTGTAAAGCGAATGGGTTGCACACAAGGGTTTATCTCCCTCTGCCTCTTTCTTGTGTTCTCTGTTCCTGGGAGCCATGATGTACGTGGCTTTCCTTCAGCTTGCCCCTGTGCTGTGCCTTTTCTGTCTTGGAGCCTGACAGCAATGCACTAAAATCATGAGCCAAAATAAAAGATTTGAGTGTCAGGAATTTTGTTCTAGTGACAAAGAAATGATTAAGATATATGCAAAGCAGAATGACATTAGGATTCAGAGCACAAGCATTGCAGAATAACAGGACTGAAGATACTTTTTACAAGACAATGTTGGGGCTGGGGATTTAGCTCAGTCGCATAAGCGCCTGCTTTGAAAGCAGGCAATCGTGAGTTCGATCCCCAGTAATGATAAAAAGGAAAAAGACAAAAAAAAAAAAAAAAGACAATGTTATCTCCAAAATAGGGACGAGGGTTTTATGGGTGATGAGTGTGTCTAGGGAGGGACATCTGGAGGTAGGGGATAGACAGGCCCTCAGCAGAAACTCAGGCGTGGAATGTGAGGGCCCAGCGTCTAGAAGGGTGGAAATGCACAGAACGTGGTGACTAGAGACTGGTGGACGTTGTGAGGAGCAGCACCAGCTAAGGAGGCTCCTGAGCGCGCTGCGCTGTTGGGAGCCGCGCTCCGTTCGCTGGCTCCTTTCTTCAGGTTATGTTAGAAACGCGGGGTGGTTAGGCACTGAAAATTTCCGTTTGCCTCTATTTCAGGTAGATCTTTTGCGAGCAGGAGAAGTTCCTAAGCCTTTTCCTACACATTACAAAGATCTGTGGGATAACAAACATGTCAAAATGCCTTGTTCCGAACAAAACTTATACCCCGTGGAAGACGAGGTGAGAACAAAACTGGGTCTCTTAGTCCTGAAGCGTGGGGTAGTGCTCCTTCTGCCTTTTGGTCTGTGCTAAGGAGTAATTTAGAGTAACTGGATCCTGCTTTGCTTTTTCCTGTAAGAATGGTGAGCGAACTGCAGGGAGCCGGTGGGAGCTTATTCAGACTGCACTTCTCAACAGATTCACTGGACCCCACAACCTGAAGGTATGTTCTTTCTGTTGTTCTTGTCTCCCATAGGTAACTCTTCTGTTTTCTCCCTGAGACATTTTCTGACCCTAGACTCAAGCAGTGGCATTCTTTACAGGCAGAGTGCTTGCTTTCTGCACTGAGAAAGGCTCCTTAGTTACTCTGGGAGACTGAAGCAGGAGGGTGGCAAGTTTGAGCCCAAGCTGGGAAACTTAGCAACTTAGTGAAAGCCTGTCCCAAATAAAAATAAGACAGGTTTGAGGCTGTAGTTCAGTGCGAAGGCCCTGGGGTCAATCCTCGTACCACAGAAAATGGGCCGGCAGACAGAAGAATGGAGAGAAAGAAGAAAAACAGGGAGGGAAGAAGGAAAGAAAGAAAAGAAAGACTTTAGAGACAGTCTGAGTTTCCTAGTTTCCCCCCTCCTCGGAAATGAGTGGAAGAACTGAGAATTGTAAATGACTTGCCTGGAGCCACACAGAATAATTTGGCGAACTAGGAATAAGACCTCTGTTTCTTGATTCCCTGTCCAATTTCTTTCAGCCTACGCTTCTCTTATTTTTTGTTTAAAAATTATCATGTTTCTGGAATGCCTTTAAAAGGAAATCAGGAAAGAATTATGACTCTAGCTATGTGTGCCTAAAGGGAAGCAGAATTTGCTAATGATTGAAGTATACATTAAGTATTCTGTTTTTTATTGCTTTTAATATAGCTTCTAGCAATTTAATAATTTATTAATCTTAATATATATTGGCAGTCATTTATTTTTACTTTTTTTCTTTTTGTATTTCATTTAAGACCATAAGAGCAATTCCTAGATTGTTTTCCTGATACATAAAATATGCATGAGTAGATATATCTTTTCAGGGGGAATACTATAACTAGAGATTTTTAACATAAAAGTATAAGCAGTGACATAATTTTCTATAATTTCCATGAAAATGGGTTTCATTTTCTTTCAGTGGCTTAATTTGTTATGGACATTTTCTCTGGTTTTCTATTTCCCACTTATACTTGAAAATTATTTTTACACTTTTTATACCTTTTAGTAGCTCCTGAGGTTTTTTCTTTTTTTACATGAAAAATGTTGATATATTATTCAATAATGTATTTTTAAAGTTCATTCATTTTAAATATTTCTCTTCTAAGTGGGAAAGATTTTCAAGGTCTTCTAGAGTTTCCTTATTTTGAATGTAATATCAGTGACATGTATGCAGACATAGGCTGAATGTGAACGCCTTGGGCAGGGGATTTAGCCCAGCAGCGTAAGCGTCTGCCTTGGAAGCACACGGTTGTGAGTTCAGTCCCTGGTACAAATAAATAAATAGATAAATGTGAATGTTTTATGCTCGTGATATTTATATAACTTTATTAATTTGATATTTTTCCATTTTTAAGCACAGTGGACTATCAGTTATTCATGATCAGATTGAAAATTTATGATGTGTTCCTTTTTTTGCTAAGATGTTTTTAAACTACTGACCTAACCCACAATAATGTACATAAAAATATTTTTAAATACTGTATAAAGGGATGGAGGATGTAGCTCAGCAGAGTTCAGTCTCCATCATCAAAAAGAAAAGAAAGGGAAGAAACACCAGCTAAACAAAAGCTGGGCACTTTGTCTTCACTCTTCTTATAGTCATGAACAGTTGGTGTGCGCTTACACTGGACCCTTAGGGAGACCTTCAGCTTGCCGGTAAACATGGTAGTGGCCGCTTTACATCAAGTGCTTTAGAAGTTAATACCTGTATTGTGATGTATCCTAGGATGGCTTAATATTTCCACCGTTTTTATCTGCATAAAGTGTCAGTCGTCCTTCCTACAATGTCTCCTTTGTTTTTAGGAAAACAAAACTACATATTCACACAAATCCAGGCAGGAATACTATGGACACCCATCTGAGAAAGTCTTATGGTCTTAAACTGACTGATTTTTAAATTATGCATATTTTTCTTCAAACATAAAGTAATCACAGCATTCAAATTAAGCAGTCTACTGATTGTAGCAATCCATTAGTGTACTGTGGTTACTTTAGGAAGCAATAATTGCTTTGAAGTGAACTTCCCTTTCTTACTTATCTATGATAGATGCAACTAAACAGAATAATTCATCGAAATTTTCTTCTCTGCTTATGGTAGTTCAGTCCTTTACTGAAAGAATGCTTGAGAGAAGGGGAGAACATTAAATCTCTGTGATTGATTGAATATAGTGATCTTTTTTTCCTGTTTTTATGCTAATTGATATTGGATTTAGAGGGATCCAAGAGGTTCAAAGTCTCAAAAAGGAACATTATTCTCAAAATTAGTATTCCTGTAAATAATGTGTTTGATAGTTTATGCAAAAAGTACTTTTTATGGTCATTATGCATTATGAACTAAAAAGAATATTTAGAGTTGCTAGCTCAGAATACAAAGGAGCATCCCTGATTTTTCTAGTGATAGACAACCTTATGATGGACCCCTCAAAAACATTGGACTCAGAGGTACATGGACTTGTCTTGTCATTAGTCCTTAAACAACACAGTGTAACAATTATACCATCTGAATTGAATTGGTTGTTACAACTAATGTAAAGCCTATGAGAGAATGTACACGCACAAATGCTTTCCTGTCTTATGTCAGGAGCAGCCTCAGGTTTTGATGTCCTTGGGGTCTGGGCTGATAGAGTGGGACAGCTATTAGGGGTAAATGCTCAGTATAAATTGTCATTAAGAACTTATAAATGGTATTTCAAATGTTTTTCTTCATCAAATATGAGGAATAATTTATAAGAAAGTACATGCTTTGAAAGTGTGTAATTTGATCAGTTTTGACATGTGGATCTATTGGTAAAGGCCCCCATCACAGTCTAGGTACAGTATGTCACTGTCAGAGATTCCTCTCATCCCTATGTAGTCAGTTTCAGATTCTGCTCTGGCTTTAATAACTGATCTGCTGCTCCCTGTCACGATAGTTTTTAGTTCGCAGTTGATGTTAATGAAGTCTTGGTATGTGTGCCGTAATGTCTGGCTTCTTTCACTCACGGTGAAGATTTTTGAGACTCACTTAATGTCATTGCGTGTGTGTGTCGGGGAGTTGCTCCAATGTGTGCATTGCTTATCTATTCATCTGCTTATCCACATTGCTATTTGTTATATATTGTTTTATTACACTATACAGTTTTGAAATTAGATACCAGTGATTAGGAAAAAATTCTTAAAATCTTTTGATTCAGAAGAAGTTTTATTGTTTTGTTTTGATTCAGTTTTTTGGTACTGGGAATCGAACTCAGGACCTTACACTTGCTGGGCAAACATTTATGCCGCTGAGCTAGATCCCTACTGTTACAGTCAGGGGTTGAGAGGAGACCAATTAGAATCAGGACACCGAATTCATAATACTATTTTATGATGGTCACCCAGAGTTAAACAAAAGAAAGTGCAGGAAATCTATCCACAACACTAAAGACCCAGAATATTCAGTTAAGGGCCTGGATCTCACAGCAATGTTCTACATGGTTCCAGCTGAAGACCTAGAGCCCGTGACAGTGCCTCCCACAAGTCCAACTGGAGGCCTAGAGCCCACAACAAGGATTCACACCAGTCTGTTTACGGATCTGACCTGGAAAGGCCCAAAGATCAGCTAGAAAGTGGAAGCTAGAGAGTTTGTACCGGCGGAGTGAAGGGGCTGTGCCAGTAGGTTGAGGGATCTACCCTGGAGCTGAGAAATCATACTCAAGAACCAGGGCTGCCCTGAAAAGTACCTTCGCTGTTTTTAGCAACACAGAGGTCCCGAGCTCCTCCAGTGATAAAAACAGTCGAGTACGTGCCAGAAAGCCAGCATGACGAGTTTCTCCCAGAGATTAAGCAGCACGCGTCTCCCGCTCTGAGCCAGGAAGCAAAGCTTGATTTAAGGACCAGCGCTCCCACAGTGAACCACAGCCACTCCTCTTACGGTAATAGTCAAACTCACACTGGGGAAGCTAGTCATGATGAGCTCCTCCAGGAGAACCAGTGGCTCAGAACGGCAACACTTAGAGAAGCCCACAGCACCTAACTCTCGTCCACGTCTCTATTTATGCTGGCAACTTTCCTCAGGAGACCATCTACACTCAGCATCATGCTGATTTAATCCAGCTGGTGTTACATTGACCACCAGGTTTAATCCATAACACCCAGCCCAGATGTTTTATTTTATGGCTTGTGAATGACAGGGCTTTTTCATGCCCTATTATTTTATGGTTAATGTTACTTTTCTGAAGGAAGTTAAATATCCCTTGGTTCCAAGTGGCTAAGGTACTATTGTGGGGTCAAGTCTTAACCGAGGTGCTTGGTGCCCAGTTTAGCATGAGAATTTTTCAGGAAGCTGTTTGGCAGAATGTTAATTTTTTTTAACATTCTTTTATGGAAATAAATTTGAAACGTTACAGTAATACTCCAGTTGTTTTCAGACTTGTTTCAGTAAAAAATTAGTATTACCGATATATTTTTAAATCTTCTATATATTTTTTGCTTTGTTAATGTTATATATAATAAAGTATAACCAAGGTAGATAATTTAAAAGAATGTGATAAGATGTAATTATAAATGCTGCTTCTTACACAATGAAGGGGTCGCCTCATGCATACCAAGGTCTGGAAACCAAGCGTATAGTTTTGGCTATTCAGCCAGTTGAAAGTTGTACCAGCAGATGGCATAGTATTTTGACTTTTCATTCTGTGTAAATAAATGACTTGTGTGAACGGCTGGGGAAAGATAGCCAGTTACACAAGCTTATAAAAGTAGCTGATAATAAGACAGAGAGATCACTTTATACCTGAAAGCAGTATGTCTTAATTTTTTTTCTTCACTGCTCTCCCCAGGAGCAGAAGAAATGATCCCAGGAGCCTTCTTAAACATTTTCTCTTAATCTACTCCTCACCCCTACACACACAAAATTTCAGTGCTACAAATATAACATGTTTCTCTCTCTGTATGTATAGGCAGTAACCTTGTTCCTCTCCATGAGTCCTTATTTTTCATCCTCCAAGAGCCAATTTTTTTTCAGCTTTGAATACATCATCCCATTTAGTTCGTATGCTTTAGGGTATTCGTTTTTTCCCCCTAGTATTTGACCTTTCCAATCTCACTTGTCTTAAATGAATAATAAATTAGTATGCATTCTGTTTCTCTGTAGCTACTGATGGCGGGTAGCTAATGGTAGAAGGGAGCTTGTCTAGCACTAAAAAATGTACTCGAGGTAGTTTATAATAGAAATGAGCTCTTCATAGATAATTCCCATGGCTGGGTCATGAGATTTTGTTTCTGCTTTTTCCACAGGATGCTATTCTGAAATACAATGTGGCGTATTCTAAGAAGTGGGACTTTACAGCTTTGGTTGACTTCTGTGATAAGGTAGAAGTATGCTTATTTCTTTAGCTGTGAAATAATCCAGTAATCCAGCAACTCTGTAAAGTTTGAGAAAAATACTCAAAATTCTTATGCACTAACAAAATTATCTTTTATTTTCATGGGGTTTCTGTTTTAAGGTAGACATAATTAGAGTTTAATATAATAAATTTTATTTTACTTGTATAATGTATATTTTCTGTCATACTGTCATGCCATTATTGGCATTATCAATGGATGCCTAACATTGTATGACTAGATTTCACAAAAGTATTCCTATCTAGACATCTAAATTGTGTCCAGGCGTATCCTATTCTCAGTTGCACTGTAGTACCCATGTGTAATTACAGATTGACAAAAAATTTACCAAGAAATGCATGGTGAGGGGAGTCCTGTCTACTTTGCACTGTCCCCCAGTTTTGATCACTTGCATAACTATTGTATGGTATCAACTCTAAGGAATTGACATGAGAGCTTACGTAGATTTCGCCAGTTTCTCATGTAGTCTCTTTTTGTTTCTGTGTAGCCGTATCCCATGTTCCCTAGTTCCATGTCACTGCCCCCATCAAGTGACGGAGCCACCCCATTGCCACACGTATCGCTTGCTGCCCTCCGCAGCCACACTGGCCCCTTCCTGACCCCTGGCAGCCACCAGCTCTCCATCTCCTATCATTTCTTCTTATCCCAGAGGGTTGCAGTGTGTAACCTTTTCAAGTTGCCTTTCTCAGCACGATTTTCTCATGCTCACTCGGATATATCTTTGTTTTTTTATCCTTTTATTGTGGCAGTATTCCTCAGCATGTAGAGGGCAGAGTTTAGCAGTAGTCCCATCTAAAGCATTTGGATCATTGTGCTTTTTACTTTTTCAACTAAAACTATGAATTTTATTTACAGTTTTTCCTGTGCTTATATGTTTTTACTTTCTTCGTGATAACTGTTTAAGAATGTAGTTGCTAAGTAAAAATTTGATAAGCATATTTTTAGTTTTAGAAAAAACTAGGAAACCAAGCAATGACAGTTTACTGAGTAACTGACTCTCCCTCCTACAGGAAAAAGACTTTCATATATAATCTGTTTTAAAGATTCTCCATAATTTGATTCTTCTGTTCATCTCGTGTTATTTTGAGTCATGTAAATTATTCGTTTCACTTACTAGAAATAGAAACTAAAGGTAGTTTTTGAAGTGTAAACATTTGGAATTGAAATGTCTCTTATTTCTATTAGAGATTTGGATTATCTAATAGAGAATAATTATTGAACTGTGAGCATAGCCTGTGTTTAATGTGAATATCCATTTTCAGTAAATGTCATCTGGGGCAGGGGATAGTGATGTATTGTGCTGTTTGACCTACCACTGTGTGTTAGAAAGACCGTCCAGCCCTGGGACTTCTCTTCCCGGCACCTTTATCAAAACCCAGATGGCTGTACATGGGAAAGTTTGTTTCTGGCCTCTTATTTCTGTCCTTTGATTTATATGTCTGTCCTTATGGCCCGAACACACTATCTGGATTACTACAACTTTTTAATGAATTGTAAAATCAGGAATTATACATCCTTTAACTTGAATTTTTCTGTAGTATGTTTTGAGTATTTTGCATCCTTTGCATTTCAATATGCGTTTTGGAACTAGTTTTTTAAATTTTGTGGAAAAGCAAATTGTTAACAATTTGGTTACTAAAAATCCAAACTAATTCTGCATTTTTGAAGAAGTACAGATAATTTTAGTGTAATTTCAGGGTTGCCTTATTGAGCTTTTGGCCCAAATAGACTTTAAAGGCAGCCGACTGATGATAGATTCCCTTATCCCTCTTCAGAAAATTGTATAACCCAGTATCTGTGAATCTAACTGCCTCGCACTTGAACAGAAATGTAATTTCTGATGCATAAAAAAGTTGATCAAGTTAATGGAATCTTTTTTTTTGTCACTCAGCGGAACGTAACACTTGTATTTTCTAATTTTCTGGGCTTTAGTTAGACATGTTGGTTCATTTTGGTGAGAAGTAATATTAAATCTGGAGCCTTGAGGTGGCAGTGAAACATGCCCTTGCTCATAATAGGTGTCGCTTTGCTGAGGTAAATTATCCACCCTACCCTTAATCAGAACGCAGACAGGACCTTCTCGCCTCTCTCCTGCTGACCTTGCCCAGGAGCTTCCCAAGAGGGTAATACAGAGCAAGTTTTGGTGTTCAGTGTAGATCATAAATATGAGGTGATTGCTCTAGGACTGATGATAGTTTTATAGCGCTTTAGAAGAGTCATTGCATCTTTTGACCTTCCAGTTTTTATTTATTTTGTAAACTGTATAGAGGGTTGAAAGAGCCCAGTATGATAGCAGATACTAATTTCTTACTGTGTTCTTTAAGTTGCCCCATGTGTATAATGTCTTGTAGTGATAGCTGGAGATAATGTATATTTGAAATATTTTATGCTGTATTATGAAATCTTGGCCAGGTGTGGTGGTAAATACCTGTAATCCCAGCACTCAAGAGGCTGAAGCAGGAGGTTCACCACAAGTTCAAGGCCAGACTGAATTACAGAGCAAGATCTTATTTCAAAAACCAAAGAAAAAGCTTTTTTAAAGAAACTCTTCTGTGTTATATAGCTTTATAACTTTAATCTTATTGATTGCATGATATTCTGGCAATTGTTAAATAATTTGCACAACCATTCCAGTGTTAGAGACTTGAGGAAATGTGGGTAAAGCATATCTAGAGATTCAGAAATGTTTTCTGTTTCTATTTGACCATTTGCTGATCTGTCACTGCTTACGTGCCTAGCAGATGACATCAGATGTTTAATACATTTGTGTGTCTTCCTGTTCATCAGATCTCTGAAAACATTAATATAGAACCTGATGAAGTCAGACCCAGGTGCGCCAGTGGTTCTTGCGAAGTGTCAGGCATGTGTGGATGGCATTAGTAGAAGGAAGAAGGATCTTTAATGCAGAGGGTTTCTTTGGTTTTAGATTATGAATGAGTTTGGCTTACTTTCTTGTGTGTCTATATTTTAGGGTAGGAGTACTTGTTAATCTAAAAGTATTCTTAAATTGCTTGTTAGTAGAATTTGGAGATTCTTTTTTATATTGCTAAATTTGTTTTTTTTAACTCATACATAAACCATAGAAATTATATGTACTTATGGGAAATTATTAAGATGTTGTAATACATGTATAGATTGTATGTTTAAATCAGGGTGAAAACATCTGTTGCCTCAGACATTTATGATTTCATTATAGTGAAAACATTGAAAATCCTTATTTCTAGGTTTTTAAAGTATACATTATCGTTATATTAAGATTAATATTTTAGAGTTTGCTTTCAGGTTCTTAAATTTTCATGTGCTTGAAACCTTTCTGTGAATAATGGATTTTGTAACCTCAACTGTTTCAGAGCAGGAGGCGTCAACCCTAACAGTCATTTAGTGTGAGTCCATGTCATTGCTATTAACCTAGGACCAGGATCCAGCACAACAAGCAGGGGACCACAGTGCTCCTCAGCCTGCCATGGGTGCATCCTCTGTTGGAATGGAAGTGAGGAGTAGTGCCAAAGCTTTTATTATTTTATCAGGACCCAGCAAAAATCAAAGAGATCAGTTTGTTAATTTGTGATGTATTAAGTATAGATTAGGTGGTAGTGAGGTGAGATGACTGTTGTATTTAGTGTTTTTGCATCTTGATTTTAATATTGGTCATCCTCACTGCCAGCTGTTGGAAATGCTAGGCACAAATAATCTGTGTTTTATGGCCCTCCTGTGTGGTATTCCACAAAATTAAATCTGGCCACTTCCATAATTTATATTCTAAATGAATCAATATATTTACTTCTGGTGTTTTTCACAGGAAATTTTAACAAAGTGTCATATATGTTTTAAAAGATCCTCTTGTTAATGCATTGTAGAAAAATTTTAAGGACATTCATCTGGTAATACCTGTGACATTACTTCATTTTATTTTTAGCAAATTAACTTGTGAATGAAATCTATGCTATATGTTAAAACCAAGTGGCTGAAGAAAGGGCATGGGATATATAGTTAAGAGGGCTTTCTTCTGTTTAGTTATTTAATATGAGAAACTTACATCAGAAAATGGATAGGCACCTTTTTCACAAATGTATAGTTATTGAAGGGAAAACTAAGGATTTTAGTCACTATTTAATCCTCATTTCCACCTTTCATTTAATGCTGGGATCAAAAATAGGAATGAAACCAGGTGTGCTGGCACAGGCCTGTAATCCCAGCATTCAGGAGTCTGAGGCAGAGGATTGCCACAAATTCAGGTCATCCTAGCCTGTGTAGTGAGACCCTGCCTTAAACAAACAGCACAAACAAACAACAGGGATGCGTAAGCCCTCCTTACTTCCTTCTGTTGGCTTTCCATAAAGGCTGCCATAAATAGTCAGTGAAAAATAGGAGTCTAGGAATACAACATTACTTAGAAATAAAAAAGGAAAATATTAAAATAGGTTTTGATTGCTACATCTAGGCTAGTAGTACATTCTTTTTGAAAACACACACTTTTTAATAAATAACAGCAAAAAGTATGTGCCTTGGATTATATATCTAAAATGCAGTTGTTATCTGTTGTTAACCAGAGAAAGACTAGTTTAAGTCTCTCTCCCTGAAAACAAAAGTATATAAATCTACCAGTAATGAACTTGAATTCTTTTATACACTCCCGACTTTTAAAAGGTAAATAGTATATTAAGTTTTGGAGGAAGCAAACTAGAGCAGATTTTACATGTAAGTGATCATGTTTTTCAGTTCTTGATATATTACTTTAAAATTTAAAAACAAGCACAACAGAATTTATTGTCTGTAAAGTTGAGGCATCTCCCATGTTTAACTAAAATAACATTTTTTGAGCTCAGGTGACTATGAAAGACTACAATTATAATGTATTAGCAGAACTTCAGTAGAAACTTAGAAGAACACTGTAAGCTTGTATTAAATAGATTATCAACAGTTACCTCCCGTATTTATAGTAATAGCTAAAATAAATTGTTTCAGTT